TATTCTTGTAGCTTCACTAATTCCCTGGAGTCGTTCCTTCATGAAGCAGCAACACAACAGCACACAGGCCCAACCACTACAACAGGCTTCGTTGACTCAAATGTAGGCGATCCATCTTTCCTTGATTTGCAGACATGCACACAAAAGCCATGTGCTGATAGTAGCTGTGTGGTGTGTAATGGTGCTGTCACCTGCCCCGAAAGCATCCTCCTGCCCTGCTCCCTCCCTCCCTCTCTCTCTCCCTCTCTCTCTCTCTCTGACACTCTCTTTTCTTTTACTATTTTTCCCTTCCTTTCTATCTCAGCCTCCTCCTCCCTCTCTCTTTCATCTTGCTCTCCCTTTTCAATTCTATCTATCCATCCATCTATCCGTCTATCTCTCCTCGCCCTCCACAGATGAAACCAGTTCAGCACAGAGGATGCCAGCATCCCATTGGCTGCTCTGCCACAGGAGTGGATGGAAGCAGGAGTGAGAGAGAGAGAGAGTGAGAGGGAGGGAGAGGGAGAGAAAGAAAGCTCAAGAAGATGCAACTAATCTGCCACAGCATCCTGACAGAGCGCTGAGCTGAGCGATGAAAGTAAGGAGAGGACACACATGTCGTCTCCACTCCTTTATTTATTCATTTATTTTTGCCCGCAGATCAAATTCCCGCTCCTCTTATAGATGGACACCGGAGGGGAGTGGGGGGGATAACTTTGTCCACGTTGCCACCACAGGACGGAGCTGCCAGTCTGTGAGTGAAAGGAGTGGACAAGCAACAGCTGAAGTGACTGATCTGAAGCCCTCTGGATCTCCTCCTCACCTGGACATGACTGCTTCATGCTGACTTGGCATCCGCTGCTGACTGCTAGTCAAGGTGCCTGCAACCACACCTATTCCACTGCTGGTTATTTTAAGGTATTTTACACTTCCCCCCGGGCCAGCGCTGCTGTCTCTGGGAGAGACGATGCTCGGAGAAGGACGGCTGTAAATGAGTGTCCCCGTGACCCGACTGTCACCCTCAAACTGTCCTCCTCCCCCCTGTTGGCACCCCCTGGTACACACCTGCTCCGACTCCGGGATGTGGTGATTTCAGGCCAGCTGTTGGCCGTCCCACATTTGGGTCAGAATGCCAGTGATGAAGGGCCTCCTGGCCCCCCAGAACACTTTTCTGGACACCATTGCTACACGCTTCGATGGCACCCGTGAGTATTATAGTATTTTTATACAGTACATCATAGCTGATGCAAGAAAATGCCCGAGATTTGTTGTCAGTAACAGTGCTGCATGCTTTCAGTAAGAGAAATACAGGCACACATTTAAAATAATAGTAAACTTGAATCTGACTGTGTTTGTTTGGTTCTCACTCCATTTCCTTTCATTAATGCACCGTGTTTGTGCACTTGCACAGCTCTGTCTGACACCAGCATCATCTGCAGGTCCAACCTGGAGACGGACTGAAGTTTGTTTACATTTCACCAAGTGTGTCATCTATCTTTTCTGATCTGTTTTCACGCAGCTTTCGCTCCAAGCCGACCAGAGCTGCTGTCTCTGCTCGGCTTGTGCCTCTTGTTTTGTTACCTTGTGTGCCGTCTCGGGGGAAGTCGCAGCTCATTGTAAAAGTATACCGTGGGGACGTCTGTGTTTGTTGGCTCCTCCGTTCTGCCTGTCCTCCCTCACTGAGTAGCGGCAGGTTGAACCAGCAGCAGTTTTTTTTTCTTTCAGTGCCTGCTCACATTTTGAATCTTGCAAATTAAACGCAGTAAAACCGATGACGTAGTGGCGTGATTCATCAGTAGGGTGCGCAACTAAAGCTTTGTTGATCAGTTATCCTGGTGATGTGCTGCACTGGGGAGAAGGAACTCTGAAATACTGTCAGTTTTCTGCTTCATAAATGGGTGGTGGTCTTTTTGAATCTGTTTTTTTTAGGTCTAATCAGCAAAAAGTTGACTTTTTTCCTATTTTAGAAAGTATTAAAGTTTGCAGTGTTTTTAGTTTCATTTAAATATATGTTCACATATACCACGACACCACTGTCACTTCAAATGAAAAGAAAACAATTTTCATGTTAGAAAATGAAGCTTTGAGGTACTGTAAGTACTTTAATAAAATACTTGGTTTGGGCTTTCTTCACTTGAAGTTTTAACGGCTTTTAGTGAGTGGTTGAGCTGAAGTGCAGTACGCTTTATTTGCAGTACATTATCATCGTTAGCTGTCACCGGACTATGAAAATAGAGATTTGATGAGAGTGCATAAATGAAAAATTAGCATCTTCCTTTTTTCTTTTTTTTTATGAAAAATACATTATAAATACTTTCCAGGATTGTGTCTCTCCTAATGTGCTAACACTACCAATTTCATGACTCACTGCACCAACACACACCGTGTTGGTCTGCAGACTATTAACTATGATCCCTGTGAACACAACAGCTGTGCCCACGGTCATCAGCATGGTAAATTATTTTAGATTTTTAATATTCATGGCTGCCACTTTTCTTTTTTTTTTTGATCCGATCCATGCCGGTGTAACAGGACGCTTATTGTTTTTCCTGCACGTGGTTAAATAAGTAATGAAGTTTGTGCTGCACACCAGACAGAGATGCCATGCTTTTAAACTTTAGGAGAGTTAATGGCACTTCTCAAAGCTGCCATAAGGCTGTGGCACGTACAGACAGAGAGAGAGAGAGAGAGAGAGAGAGGCATTGTGCCCGCAGCTCAAAATAGCTTCCTTCCTGTTCCCGGGGAAACAGGGTCCTGCCACTTGACATGGATGATGCTCGAATAATTTGGTCTTGAGAAAAAGACTGGTCTGCTTAGGAGAAAGTGCTTGAATTTACTCTTGAGTCAGCTTTTTTTTTTAAGAGCAGCTGGTGTCATTGTCTTAGGTGAAGTCTTATGACATTGCATGTCCTGTGTCCCAGGTACCTCTGGTCACCATCTGACGACATTACCTTTAACTTGCTGTATTTACAAAAAACAAAAACAAAAACAAAAAAAAAAACAAAAAAAAAAAAAAAACTATTCACATAAATCTCACCATTTCTGCAAGACTAAATATTTTTTTAGGCAAATATTTATATTTCTGTCTTATGTATTATTAAAATTGACAAGTCGATGATCTATATTTTTTGCTAGTGTTTTAAAAGGAGTCATGAATTTGTTCAAACATTTAATTAAAATATGCAGAGTTCACACTGTGGTAGATAACGTATTTCTAAAAGTACATAACAGCCATTTACATTTCATTTACCTACATTTAAATGTTTTTAAAAAAATAAGATGAAATACATTAAGCAGTAGTTTCTTTGTGAACTATTAGTCTAAAAATCCCCACAGCTCTCACTGAGCAGCCATGCAGTCAAGTGTTTGTCTGGTCGACCAATTATTCTTCTTATTTACAGTCACATTTGAATTATGCTGTATATTTATGTCTGCAAACAGCATTATCGTGAGTTTTCATGCGAAAAAAAAGAAGAAAATTCTGAAATAACAAAGTTTTTTTTTTTTGTTTCCATCGTCAGTTATTGACACAGATTTGAGGCCCTGTGATTGGATGGTATTTGATTTGAGAAGTAGCATTTATGAAAGCCGAGAGCAACTTTTAAGTGGATTTTAATTGAACAGCTAGCGGACTGGGGAAATTACTCGACTGTGGAGACACAGAAACTCCCAACACAATAAAACAAATGTCAGATCAGGTTAAATCAGTAACCTTTGACACCACAACGCACACTGTTCGGCTCAGGGCAATATCACTGTGTGGGTGGGTGTGTGTGTGTGTGTTGGAGCTGAGGGTGTTCGTCAACCATGAGATGCTGATTTGAAATGTCTGTGTGTTTGTGACAATCGTTGCCGGCGGAGAAATGACAGAGGTCAAAGGTCAGGGTCATGGGGGCCAGAGCGCCACCTCAGGAGTATGAATACTGCTGCAGAGGAAATCAGCACAACACATGCTTGTTGTCTTTGGTTTACTGTTTGCACCATCGCTCCGAGTGTGTGCACAGGGTGTGTTTTACAATACGCAGGCCTGTCCTTTAACTCTCCCCCCCCCAGCCCCTTTATACGACCTCCCTGATGGCGTTTTCACGTTGACAGCAGAGCGCGCTCTGTGGGGCAGTGTAACCATTGGGCAGCTGCAGGCAGAGATAAGAATTGGGTTTATTTCCCAGTGAAGACTTTTCTGTGAAAAGGCAACTAAAGGACTGCTGGGCGGAGGGAAAGGACAGGCAGACGAAGCCCATTGTTGCCCAGCTGATGAGCAGATCTTAGCGGGCAGCTGTGGGCAGCAGGCAGGGAGAGGCCTGGGCTATTCTTTAGCTTCATGCCGTGCTGCTCCTTTTGAAATGCATTTAGATTTACAGGTACCTACTACGTTGTTGATATTTGTTGTGTTTTTGCGATGTTTTGGGTTTTTTTGGGGGGGAGTAAGACACAAATATTTGTTCTGTGGGTCAGTAACTTACATGGATGTCTTATATTCAAATATGGACTTGAAACATATTTATCTTAATTATGTAATCTAATTGATTATCATCGGATCTTATTGATATATGTATCAATATGTATCATATATCATATATCTATCATCGGATCTTATTGATATATGTATGTATGTATGACGGCTCCTTTATGATGTTGCTAGCTCTGCTGAGGTAGCGGGAGTTGGCAATGTCCTCCAGGCTATATATATTTATATATATGCACATATAGGTGTGTACATGTATATATATATTTATATATGTACACATATGCTTGCGTACATATATGTATATATGTGTATATATAAATGTACACATATGTATGCATACATATATGCATATATATATATGTATATATACATATATATGTATGTTTATATGTGTGTATACATTTATGTATATATATGCATGTATATGCATATTTCCCCAGTGGTGTGTGTCATTTTGACCTACCTCATCTAACCACCGACTTGTATCCAAAAACGCTCCGTTTTCCGTCATACTTCTTTATCAAACCAATGACCTTTCTCCCTGCCAGTCCACTCATCCTCACCCTCTCACCCATCTGGCCCAGTAAGTAATTACATGCCAGTGGGTGATAATTAGCCGCTGCCACAGAGGCCGAGCCTCACGGACTCCATCTTCTGCACAATCACTTGTGAACATGCGCGTCATTCATTCGCGCAGCGCGTACAGCGCCGCACCGCTGCTCGGTGCTGGCGGTGCAGCGTGTTGTGTGATCATTCCAGATTACAGTAGTGGCAAGTCAACACAGATGTGTAATTAAGGAGGCTGGCACAGCAGACCGGCCACTCCAAGTAATATCCCTCGGAGGATTACAGCTTAGAACTGAGGCATTGTCATATATGCACGCACACATACAGTATACAGACATATACTAGGGTAATGGCTGCATGTAATAAATACAAATAAACAATAGGAAGTAAAAGAGTTTTAATTTGTGCAGTCAATTTAGTTAGTGAGAAAAAAATGAAAATATTTAACATATTTAACAAAGAAATATGAACACCGCAGACTGCAGCTGAAGCCAGGAAGTGGCTCCAGTAGGACAGTACAGTGGCAGCACCATGTGTAAAGGTCTAACGATTGTTTACCAGGTCCTACATCTAGGTGTGTATGTATGTATGTGTGTGTGTGTTATGGACACCAATTTATCCTCCTCATTTTTAGTCGAAACAAACACAAAAATACTTTACCTTAAGTGACGTTATCCCTCGGCTGCAGCTCTTAACACAGCAGTAAAGTTTTTTTGATTAAAAAAAAAAAAACCCATCCATTCAAAGTGATTTACGACCACACCAACCTCTGACCTATTTGAAGCACAGATTCAGGGATGCTGAGTAGAGACGGGCCTATTCTTAGTTCAACATTGCATAAACCAGAAATAAATATAGTCGCAATCCAAGACTTGCTGGCTCATTATGTTTTTTGGGGGGTAGCAGGAAACGAAGAAAGAAATCTTCTTTTCCCCCACTAGCTTCATCACATCAAGTGTTCCGTTTGAATGTAAAAAGTCAAATCTCCGACACTTTTCAAAGAACAAGAAATACAATTTGTTAATCCAAAAAGACACCACAATAACCTGTAATTTTTCCCCCCTATGCATTCAAATCAAAAACAGGAACCGTATGAATGTTTAGCATACGTTTCCTCTTGATGGATCTGACTAATGCCTGTCTCTTCCTATAATTCCACAGTGACAATTTAGTTGCTTCTCACTGCACAACCAAGAAAGGTTGTCACCGCTCAGAAAAGACGGCCCCTATGGGCTTCTTTCTGCACAGCCTGGCCAATTAAAGAGCTAGATTGTAGAAGGTGCGGGAGCAGCTGCCTAATACCCTTCCTCTTCCTCCTCCTCCTCCTCCTTAGTCTTTGCTCTCTGCAGAATTCAAACATTTCTGTCTATCTGTCTGTTCGCGCGCTGCTTCTCCGCTTCAGAAAAACTTGGAGTCTGTCGACTTCAGCTAAAAAGAGCGGAGAAATATACAGTAGTTCTGTGGCGTGAAGGTCGGTGTCTGACTGTACTGTCTTCTAAAAATAATATCAACTTTTTCACACAGTCTACCAATACCTACATGGATTTTGTTTTTCTTTTTTTTTTCTTTTTTTCATTTCAACGCTCAAAATTTAAAATTTCTGCCCAGCTCCTAATGATTAGCATCCTTTCTTTTTTCTCTAGTGAGACAGTAGAACCTTATTTCATAATATCAATTAAAAAAGTCAGGATTCACACATACCAATGGATTCTTCTAAGTAGCTGCAGTCCTTACAGTTTCTCCCGAGCAACGGTTTTAACACTTATTTACAATTAATAAGATAAATTAGAATTGTTTCTACCATGTTGTTGCACTTCAGAGTTTGCTGCTTTATTATGAAAATAAGAAATGGAGATGAACACACACACACACACACACACACACACAGATGCTTTGAAAGTACTATGTTTTAAGGTTTCTTTCACTGGGAGCTCCCACAAAGGTAGTCAAATAGTTTTGTCTAACAAATGGGGGAAGAAGCCTCTCAGCAGCAGAAACCAACTTCAGCTCATTGGGCTCACAGTATGACGTCAAGCCACAGACGCACAATTACAAAAAGTTATATGTTTGTAAAAATGTGCTAAGGTACAGTCGAGAGAGAGGAAAAAGACAGAGTGCTGCTGGTGAGCTGTCCATGGTGCTGAAAGCAGGGATTCATAAGAGGGCCAGGTCCCTGTGGTACTGATGGAGCAACACAGAGCTGGGTGCAAATAACTATCCACATTATTTATAATACCACTACCTGGTAATGTGTAAAGGTCAAAAGGTTGAGAACAGAAGATATTCAAATGGAGATTTATGTAGTTTTATTGGAGTGACTTTAAGGTGCAATATAACAATTTAACTTCAATATTATTAAACAAAATATTCAAATGAAAAGTGGAATGTATATAGGGTTCAACAACATGATGTATAAAATAAAACCACACGTCATAATTGGAGTGACTTTAAGGTGCAATATAAAATAGAATAAAGAATTGTGTTTAACTTCAATATAATTAAACAAAATACTCAAAGTGCAATGTATATAGGGTTCAACGACATGATGTTTAAAATAAAACCACACGTCATATTTTATTTTATTTTTGTATTATTTGGAGGCACATATTTTCATGATAATATAATTAAAGTTAAAGGTGTATTCCTTTCTTTTTTCTTTTTTCTTCCCACTTTAATACTTTATCCATTAAGTGACCAATTCTAACATTAATGAGGCAAAACCTTCAGGGATTTGTGTCGACCAATCAAGTCAAGGATTATATTCAAATCAATGAATGACCCGTGTGCTCCCCGTAGACCCCACTCAGCCGTTTCTCGGTCCAAGGATTATATTCAAATCAATGAATGACCCGTGAATGAATGACCCGTGCCACTCAGCCGTTTCTCGGTCTCAGCCGTGCCATATTTTTGCCATATTCTTTTGCCTTAGCAGTGGTTTTCACCACCACAGCAACATTACTCAGCTCAGAAATTAGCTGACGGCAGCCTGAAGAAAATTAAACGAGCTAGAGTCCACATCAAAGTCTGTTTGCTCTGTACTTTGAACTCGTGAACCAAACTGAACCTTTGATGTTGGTTCAAAGATTTTAACAGTCTTTGCTTTTTAGCACAAAGGAAAAAAACCAACTATAAGCAGACATAAGACTGTAACATCAGACTGTAACACCATGTGCCCAACTGTTTCTTTCATGCCTTCCTCACAGACAGTAATTTCCTGCTGGGTAACGCCCAGGGCCACCGCGGCTACCCCATCGTCTACTGCTCAGATGGCTTCTGTGAACTGACGGGCTTCACCAGAACAGAGGTGATGCAGAAGAACTGCAGCTGCCGCTTTCTGTACGGGGCCGACACCAGCGAACATGTGGCCCAACTGATGGAGAAGGCTCTGGAGGGCCGACAGGAATACCAGACCGAGGTGCACTTCTACAAGAAGAACGGTGAGTGAAAGATTGTCTCCTGAAAATCAAATTTGAGTTTCGTTCTTTCAAGGTTACGAAGCAATTACATTTCTGGTCTTCTGTCGAGCTAATCAAAATCTAGTATTGTCTTGGGTAAATGCTCGGATCTCTTTGTCCCAGATTCAGTTCTGTTTTGATCAGGAAGTCATTATCAGAGAAATTAAAGCTGTACAGGGTTTTTGTTCCGAATTTCTTTTGGACTTAAGCAGAGTATTGCATTTTAATGATTGATATCTACACATATGCAGTCTTGCCAAGGTTAACTGATCCAAGCAGACTCTGTTGTAGCGTTATAGTGCATTGCCGTTTGATAAGTATTGTACCAATTACTGAAAGAAATTGACCAAATACTTATACATTTAGTTTTTGAAGTTCCTTTCCACACAGTTTCGCCCTCTACTGGCCAGATATAAACGCAGCATTAGCATTAGCCGCAGCAAACTTACCTGCTTTAGATATAAACATTTTAAACAGTAGCAAAATTAATAAAGGTTCAGACAGTGCCTGCTTTTCAATTAGTTTTATCATTATTTTTTATTATTTATATTTATAACTATTATTATTATAATTATTATTATTATAGATGATAACTGTACCCTCCTATAAGCTTTTTTTATCCTCTGGGGGAAAATCCAACTCTCAATGAGACACATTTGATGTCCATCAACCCTTTTTGGGAGAAAAGTCACAATTCCAACAACACTCACATGAGCCCATGCTCCAAGGCCAATCTGTAAAGATCCAAATAGCCCAGTAAAAGCCCTCTGTTACAGAAATAAACTGCCTTGAGTCATGCGCTGGGTATGAACCAAATAAGCCTGTCTGTTCTCATTTGGTGAGAGGAGCTTTGATCCAAACCATTAATATTTTAATAACCTGGGGATGATACCCAACAGCCAGCTCCATCTCCACCGCTCCTGCCTACTAGAGGCTTAAACATGGAGACGTGGCTTGGAATAAGAAGTGCCTAAATTTCTAAGTGAGAAGGCCACAGACAATCAGGAAAGTAGTGGTATCAAGTTTTGACAGCGCACATTTCTGGCTCCCCCGGAGACGTTTTAGTGGCTGTCCGTCAAGATGCGCCGGGTCAGATATATTTATATTTATTTGAACTCAATTTATGTTCATGAAAGTGATTGTGTTTAGGATTGTTTATGGTGTTTTTGATCATTATTTAAAAAAAATATAAAAATGTTTTTACCCTATTTGAATTCCAGGCGACCTCACATGGAGTCGCGACCCCAAGGTTGAAACAAACAAACCAAAACACTCATTTAAACACTGTCGGTTTAAGAACTAAGTGCCATGAACGTCTGTTAGTATTTTCGGTTCTATCCTCGTCAGATATTCACACCTGTAGCAGCAGAGTATAAGTCACTGGTTACACAGAATGTTCTTAGCCTAATACTGTAATACACACTGTTCTTGAGGAAATAAAAACACGTTTGTAAGGGTTTGGTTTTTTTCCCAGTCAACGCTGCAGCGACTAATGAGGGAAGTGACAGTCGTTTGAGGAAAGGCTCAAGACCTAGAAATAAATGTAGCTGTTGCTGCAGACAGACTGTAAAAGTCAGTGTTGGTGGCACTTTTTTTAGAATGGAATATGAATGGTGTTTTGGCAATACATCTTTCTTATAGCCTTGTGCTAAAAACATCTTTTCACTGTTGTCTTCATTTTCTTTTTATATATGCCTAACATAAACATGAACACAGACATACAAACACACACACACACACACACACACACACACACTCAGACACCCTGATGTGTTGCGTTGTGAAACAGCTGTTTGGTGGCAGAGCACAGTTCCCTCAGTAATGAGCAGGGTTATAGCGAGGTCTTGGCTCCATGGCGCTTGTTTCCTGCCTTTAGTTCTTATGACCCCCCCCCACACACACACACACCACCACTGACACACTCTTCCTCTTTGTGCTCCAGCCTCCCAAACATGATCCCTAGCTAATTTGAGGTACATTTTTAGATAAGCTGCGCCATACAGTACTTGACAAGTAGACGAGCGTCGGACGCAGTAGGAACATGACACGAGAAAATCAAAGAACTCGGCTCGAAGGAACCGAAGCCATTTGGAAATGACTTGTGTCGGGGAGGGGGGCGAGGAATTGCAAATGCAGAAAAAGCAAATGAGAAAAACCACAGAGAGGTTTTTTTATGATCCACAAAACAGGAGATGCAGAGCTGTTTAACAGAGAGACCCACCATGGCCACTCACTAAATGATGTAGTTAGTCACCAGTTAGTTAATTGAAGGGAAATTGCTTGAATAGTGCACCATTATTCGATGCTGTTGATTTTGATTTTTGACTTGGTGTTAGTTCAAAAAGTTTTTGTTGAGTTACGTGGATACGTGGATGCAGTCTAGGATGGGTGTCTACACCGAGACAATGACCGTCGTCTGTTGTCTCCTCAGGTGCTGCCTTCTGGTGTCTGCTGGACATTGTTCCTATCAAAAACGAGAAGGGCGAGATGGTTCTCTTCCTCTTCTCATTCAAGGACATAACAGACACCTACGGCAAGGGCCAGCCCAGCAGCAGGAGAGAGGGTAGGTTACCAGTCCTCGTCTGAAAAAAAAAACAAAAAAAAAAAACCTCCTGTTATTTACTTCACTTGTGATGTGATTTACGAGCGCACTTCCATCCGTCTGCCCACGGCGTTCATTTTTTACCCTGCGCACTCCTGTTCATCACTGTCATGGCAGATGTGCGTGTAATGACGTTTGTTGATCGAACGCCGACAGTGTTTCCAAGGGGAGTTGCGGTAAAGGCAGTGATGCGTCTTCAAGTGGAACATCGCTACAGTCGGCGACAAATGCTAAGCGCTGCACCAGGAGATCATAAACTGTCACTTTTACGTAACGTCATCAAATGACTACACATTATGACCATCTGTGTCTTCACTACATCAACCATGTCTCCCAAGGGGAACGCGCTTTAACGAAGGGTTTGCTCAGACAACAAGCCCGGTTTGGGGAAAAACAACTTTTATAATCGCAATAAATCACACTGATTATTTGCGCGGTGAATGTACAATCACTGGCTGATTTAGTCTGTACACCTGTTCAGAGGATTTTTATGATGATCACAAACAAAACAGCAGTACTTCTCAAATAGTGGAGCGGGCCCCCCGGGGGGCGCGGTGAGGTGCTGGGGGCGGCCGTGAGGGGCTTCCATTGGAATATGACACACTCAACATAAGTGTACCACTGCTGTAATGATATATTGATAACAGGCCTCCAGTCACTAGGTGGCAGCAACTCATACAGTGGTTTGTACAGATAAAAATATACATGTCATCAGGTTCTCAATAGTATTTTAATTACCGGGGGGGGGGGGGATGGGTCAGTGGGGGGGCGTAAAAGCTTTTCTGCCCTCACGGGGGGGGCATGATAGAAAATAACTGAGAACCACTGCTCTACAGCAATGCTGCTAAAGGGCAAAATGAGGGAGAAAAGTTAATGTCAACATGGCATTTCAAAATGGCCGCCACAATCACAAAGCTCATTCCAACAGAACATGTTTATGTTTCTCCACATAAATCTGTGAAACGCTCTGATCTGAATGACCGTGGACAGTTTCAGACGACCAGCGGTGCAGAAGGAAGAGCAGTTCTCACTTCAGCCAGGCCCGGAAGCGTGGTAGAACCATGTTGTACCATCTTACCAACCAGTTCTCAAGAGGAAGGAAAGGGGAGGTCAACTTGGATGGGGTGAGTACACCTTTCTTCTCTTTCACTCTTTGGTTCAAGTAGATGTGTGTTAAGGAAATAGCATTCCAGGGAAGCGAAACTTAGCAAGTTAGCACTCGCCAGGTGACCGATGTCACAATGATTTTGTTCTGGATTTCCTTATTTTCTTTTCAAAATAAGTCTGCCGTTTTCCTTCTGCGATCTCCCGTCTTCATCTGTCCCTCAGGTGCGTTTGTCTTTCCAGTGCTGTTGTGATGTGTACCCAGGCGTGGTCTGTTGCGTTGCCGCTTGTCTTATTTTGACACAACAAAGGCCTTTGTGGGCTCTGAATAATCAAAGCGGGCAGCACTGCAACGGATGTGGTTCATGAAAACCAAATGAAGCCTTTGTGGAAATACTCAATTAAGATAATTCCAGTCCTTCTCACCAGGTGTGAACCAAAAACATGCCAAACCAGCAGCCTTCGGCACTCACCCAACTTAGAAACAAAAGGAAAAGTAGACTTTTTTAGTTTTGTGTTGTTCAAGGCCCAAAACCAACAGGTGTTTGTTGATTCACTCCTATAAATGTCCAAAAATGACAAGAACAAATTAAAGAATAGGAGACCTAAACATGTGCAGTTTGTTCGGCAAGTGCTGCGCGCTAGCTTGGCGTTATTATTTTTAATGAACTCAAAGATTTGACTTATTTTCTATGTATCTTAAATATGAACAGTTTTTTGTTTTCATTTTTAGACAGCCACACGTCCTTATTGATCCATCATGAAAATGACTGCAGGCTTAAGTGAAGGTTAAAACAGTCAAGAGTTGCATGTTCTAAAATGTTCTGCAGTGCAGCGCTCTAATGTAGTTACATTAAGAGGATGAATAAACTGAGCTAGGATTCAGCGGAACAGTTCTCAGCTGCTCATGCTAAGACTTGACCCGCAGGTGCATTTCAAGGATCATCATTGTGCTGCTCCTCCCCACTGTCTGCACAGCTCCGCGCCGCCCTGGTTCCCCAGTCCCACTCCAGATACAGATGGTCGAGTGGCAGTTCTCAATGGTGCGATTCACGCCCGCCACCTCCAAATATACCTTGTCTACAGAGCGGGCACACACACACACACTTGAACATTCACAAAAACCCCGGAGCATACACTGTGGGACAGAGCAGCAGGAGACAGGCTTGTCCTCTCACGAGGACAGCATCAACATATGGCAAAACATCAACGCACCGGGGGTTTCGGATGCACAGTATTTATCAACCAGACTTTCTGCCCCGGCTCTCAGCGAGAACCTGTTTTCACGGGAACAGTTTCTCCCGCACGCGATTGTGCGAAAACAAGAATATGTAATCCGGTTTGTTCAGATGCTGCTCTCTGTCGCCACCTGTCAAATCTTCTCACACCTCCAGGAATAACTATTTTTTGTAATTCATATTTGATTTGATAAAAAGGTTTAAGGAATAACTGTTACACTGCTTGATAAACATGTAATGTCTACTGAAACTGTAGATTAGCATTTTAATGCTAACTAACGGCTGTACCCTAATTATTTATTCACTATACTGTATGTCAATTTTAGCCATAGACACAAGGACAACATGTACAAAAAACTAGGTATTTTTGATCATATCGGCCCCATGTTAGCATAACTTTGTAAAATCTGTAAGAATCGTTATCGGTTTTTCCTCCAATAATCAAAACCCGATAAAGCAATGCCTCACACAAATGATATGTTCTCTAAAAATAGTTTTGGGGATAAACGGCTCTATATTAAAGTGAAAGTCACTAGATGGCAGATAAATAAATGAAATATTTCCAGGCATATATCAGTATCGCTTGATATCGGAATCGGAAATTAAGTGTTTGGACAATATCGGCAAAAAGAGCAAAAAACCTTTTCGGGAGGTTTTAGATGGAAAACAAAGCATGACAGCTGCTGAAAAACCAACGGTCTTATTATTCCATCATTAACTGCGGGAAACAGCAGTTCTGTTGTCATGAAGGGATAGAGCACAGTTTTAGATGTTTTGCGACTCCAACAATAATGTCTGTGTTCGTAATCACACCAGCAGTCAGAATGCTCACGGGCCTTTAAAGACACACTGGAGAGCACTTTTCGCATAAGCCCTGCAATTAAAAATGTGTCTAAATGGTAATTTGGAATGCTGGGTTATTATTAGCAGATAAGCTGCAGACATAAACATAATCAATTTTCTTACACAACATTTATTACAGTATAAAAGGATTTAGCCACACAAATAATTCCATACACTTGTCTGCTGAATGTGTTGAACTGCACACGGATCAGAACAAGAGTCAAATTGGTGCTGTCCACAGATGTTATATACATGCTGTGTATATGACATATGTACACGGCAGTGTTATTCCGATGTATATAACTGACACGACTCTACTAATTAACGCCAATTACTTAATTGAAATCACTTCAGTAATTAAACTAAAGCTGTGGTTTGTTTAAACGAATAAAACCACTAAAATTGCTCTATTTCAGTGGTTCCCAAATTGTGGGGCGGGCCCCGCTTGTGAATGTGGAGTTATTGCAAGGGCGGAGCAGTAATGTCCAATAATACAATTTTTTAAATATTTTTTTTTTTGTGTGCGCAGGAGTTGAATTAAGAGGAAACGATCATATTTTAAATAAAGTTCAGTTGAGTATCGAATCATGTCCAGCGTGTCGACGGTGGACGCTGGGGAGGAGGGGCTCGTTCAACAATCAAGTCATATCTACAAAGGGCGGAGTGCAGCCAAAAACAGTTTGGCAAACACTTCTCTATTTCAAGAATTCCTCTGTTCCACTGCAGCCTTTACACCTTCCTCTCCATCTGTCGCTCTAACCTCATCTCGTCTCTCGGTCTCATCCCTCCGGATCTTGCTGTCTCCCCACGTGTTATCTGTCACTCTGTAGCTTCTCCTCCTCGTGCCTTTATTTCCCACTTATAATGGCTTGAAAGTCCTTCAGGAAAAACTGGAAAACTCCATTATGTGGCACCTGGTTACCACAAATCTATTGTTACCAGAATAGTGCAATAATGGTGAAATAAGGGTAACATATTTATAATATTAAATAGGTATATATATTTTTTAAAGCACTGCTGTGATGAATAATTTGTGATAAATAATGTAATATCATGTAGAGTATTTTTGTGCTGAAAGGGTTTGATTCTTTAAAAAATGATCCTTTTGGAGAACCCGTTCAGTTGGAGTTCTCCTCCGAGGGCTGCTTTCTACCGCTCTCCGTCTGAAACATCGTTTGTGCGTGTTCGGCGAGTTTTGATGGCCGCCAGCATGCAAGGATATCAGACGCGTGCTGTAACTCATCTGAGGCACGCTGTCGAGAAGCTCAAATTTGATTTGAAACAGCTCTATTAGTCAGGAGAGACTGACTGTCGCCTCTTTGACTTTAACACGCTCCACTTGTCAAGGTGCTAAGAGAGAGAAAAATGGTGCAATCTAGAGGCACCCTGACATCGCACTTTCCCTGAGTCTGTGCTTTTTTTTTTCTCTTACACTCACTCATGCACACACCTCGGCATAAACACACACACACACGTGGATGTGGTGTCCCAATTTACAGAGCTGCAACCGAATAGGGCTACACGTATCACCTGGAGGAGATGCGACACACAGAGCCTGTCGAGATTTGCTGTGCTGCAGAGGGCAGCACGGGTCACATGGCATTTGGCTTTGAATGCAAAAAAAAAATGTCAATACACAATAGGTCCAGTTAACCTAAAAATAATCTTTTCAAATAATCTGGGGGTCTGTGGTTGGTAAAATGTTGATGACCCCTGGAATAGAACATTCCAGCGTAAACAGCAGCAGCTGGATGTTGTGTCAGCTTTACTCATTTGAGTATTGGTACAGTGAAACCTCGCCTATCACGGTAGTTGCATTCCGAGACCCACCGCAAGATGGGAAAAATCACAGGGTCGAGATACTTATCATAATATTTACGTATATATTTCCCCTTTATGAACCTCCCCCCCCACACTATTATCAACCCTCCCTAGACTGTATTAGCCTTTCCCACACAATTATATCCACAGTAGAGTTGTAGAATGGAGACACAGAGTGAAGGGAGAGTGGCCGACAGACAGGGGGAGACGCTGAGAGACGCTACGACGCACGAGCCAATCAGAGTGAGGAACAGGAGCGCATGCTCAATTAGCCAATAGTACACCAAGTACACGTAGTATTAGCCAATAGTACGCTGTGTACGATCTCGTCTAGGTGAACGGAGAATCCACATACATTTGCTGTATTTTGCAATATTGCGAACATTGCGTGAGATCGGATTGAAAAAGAATCTGTGATGTACTGATGGAGCAAAAGGAGAACCGCAATATAGAGAGGGAACACTCTAAAACTATACCATAAATTTGAGACTTAACACTAGTCCACAAAGGTTGATGGTAGCCAGAAAGGCATTTGTTTCAAAATAAGCAAAAAATCCATGAGGACAAACAACAAAACAACAAAAAAGAACACTCTGTTTGTGGACATGTCATTTCCTGGCGTACATCTTTCTCGTTCTCCCTTCTAATCGCTTCTACCCAGATTCAACTGGTCCCAGTTGGACAAGCGTAAAGGCCAACCCAGAGTCATTAACAAAGCACTATCATCATATCACTCATTTGTGGAGTTGCAGCCTTGTATTTGGATGGATTGCTGCCTATTTATTTCAGCTTTCGGTTTTTCCTCCCTGCAATCACACCGTTCTCTGACTAAACACTGTCAGAGCTATTACAGTCCCTGTGCCAAGTGTGCAGAGCCCTTAGGAGATCTGTGGTCCCATTATGTTCTGAATCGACTCCTCACCTCATCAGAGGAAGCAATTTCATACAATTTGGGCAATTGGATTTTCTTAATAAAACATAATAATATGCACCAGTTTCCAAAAATAACCGTGTGAAATGGACAGAGTCATAATCCCTCATATTTCCCTTGTAGTAGCTCAGTCACCACCATAATGTACCACCTGAGAATCACAGCACCAACAGTATTAAGGGCGATGTAGTCATGTGTGAAATTATGAGGAATCTGTGTTGGTAATAAATTTCCCCTTCACTGATCGCACTTTTATCTCCGTCTTTTTTTCTTTCTTTTTTTCAAATTGTTACATGGCAGCCGTTTAAAAGGTCGATCAACGCCTGTAAGAGGCTGTCAGGAATAAATAACCAGCAGTATCACTGTATTTGTTCCACTTCAGCTCTCCTCCATACTGGATCATCCACGGTCAGCCCACAGGAGAACAGGGTGACATTTATATTTTCTAATTCTGCAGAATCCTGGCACTGCCCTGTCCAGCTGATGATCATCATTATTTTCACACCACATCTGGCCATCCAGTCGTTCTCTGTAGTAGTTGTCATCAAATGCTCATTAACGACAGACAAAAATTAAAAAAAAAACGTAATGCTGTGCTGTGTCTCTCCATTAAATTACAGAGCATCACTGACAAGCCTTCAATACCAGAGTACAAAGTGGCGGCAATTCAGAAGTCGCGCTTCATCCTGCTCCACTACAGTGTCTCCAAAGCCCTGTGGGACTGGCTCATCCTGTTGGCAACCTTCTACGTGGCTGTCACCGTGCCCTACAATGTCAGCTTCACACCCTACGACGACACGGTCACAGCTGCGCGCTCCACCATCGTGAGCGACATAGCGGTGGAAATGCTCTTCATCGTAGGTGAGAGTCACTTTTTATAAACTCATTAAAAAAACACGGTAAATGTCAGCCATTATTTTTCAGGCTAAAGGTCAGGTAGGCATGTCGCTTGACAGAAGCAGATATTTCTGTACCGAAAAACTCATTTTGAAGATAAATTACTGCAGTACGATACACTTGGAGAAAAAGTTTAGCTGCTCTTGCTTCCTGTTCACCTGTCACCCGTGTATGATTGTTAACTAAAGATACTAATGTTTGCAGCTGCTCTAATACGTCACTACATCATTACCAGTAGGGGGCAGATTTGGACTGATTATAGGTTCATGTCAAACCTGGGCTAACAAAAAGTTTGCTTCCATTTCATTCATTTAATTTCCATTAATAATTTTTGTCACATTTTTGTTTAATTCTGTGCAATAACCAAAGTCTTACTGCAGTACTTTTCCTTAATGTACTGCACTTTTACACCTATTCATTTGTATCCATTTCAGACAGTTCAATTCCCTCTGTTTCCCTCTCTGAGCTAATCCACTCTCAGCCCTGTATAAGTTCATTAAAAGGTGTCTGACAGGCAAATTGGTGGAATGTAACTCCTACACTTTCATCTGCATCACAACACAGAATCAACTTAACATTTGCAGTGTCTCCAAATTTTTGTGTGTTTTTTCTTTTTAATTATATATTCCCCCGAACACTCACATGGGTGTGGCGATCTTCATATCATTCTTCACAGCTGTGCTTTCTTTTTCCCCGTGGTTTGTAATTTGCTGTGAGACAAATTCAAATCCAATTTACAGTTTACAACATTACGACGCTCCAAACCCCCGGTGTGTACACACAAGTCACTTTTACTCCCAAACCCATGGCAACCCAAACATCCTTTTCCGAGGAGGTTCCCCTTGTCTTATGAAACCTTGGTTTTTAGTCCCTGCAGAACATCGTGCATCTCTCCCTGGGACCGTTCCCTCACCTGATTGTCGTCGCTCACCCTCCTCTGGGAGGGATGAACTAAGGGTGGCTGAAACTCGGTGTTCCTGGTTTGTTATGCCTTGTTAAACTACAGCCATCGTTTAAAAAAATAAATAAATTAAATGATGTAATGGTCATCGTTACCAGCGCCTCTGCTTTATAACTGCTTGTAATTTTAAATCGGTGATTGAGCCGTGAGCCGTCTCTGCGAAGACCGACAGCTGGGATGACAGATGAGGTTTGGTTGCATAATGGCTGCCAACCAGAGGTCTGCTTCTGTTTGCTGCAGTCTGACACTGAGGTTAGATGATCTGTCTGACAAATCTGCCCATCCATATGGAAAAGAGTCAGAAAACTCTGTGCCACAATTCAGTTCTCACAAATAACAGCCCTTATATGCAGTACAGCACAGTACAGTATGTCCCATATACTGTATATATAGATCCATCTGCCATATATTAATGATATGGCCAAATGTGCGGCTTTATGAAGTTTCATTTGTCAGTGAAAACAGGTGTGAAATGACGGTCAGTTTCATGACCGTTAACCCAGATGTGAATGTTCTGCAGATATTATCTTGAACTTCCGCACCACCTACGTGAGCCAATCGGGTCAGGTGATGTACGACGCTCGCTCCATTTGCATTCACTACGCCACCACCTGGTTTTTTGTGGACCTGGTCGCTGCCCTGCCCTTTGACCTGCTGTACGCCTTCAACATCACAGTGGTGAGTCCTTCTTACTATACGCTCTAGATCAGTGATCATCAACTGGTGGCTTACGGGCCCAATCTGGCCCATGACTTGTTTCCAAACAAATTTCAAAATTCAAGGAAATAAAAAATAAATAAAATAAAATAAAATAAAAAAATATTGCATGGTCTCTACTAGTAAATCAACTGAAAAAAAACAACAACAAATATAGTTGGTGACTCCTTCTATAGTTGAAGCCAAACCCTGACTTACTGTGTACTAGCCTTTTGTTTTTCTCTCCTCCTCAGACCTCCCTGGTCCACCTGCTGAAGACGGTGCGGCTGCTGCGCCTCCTTCGCCTGCTTCAGAAACTAGACCGCTACTCCCAGTACAGTGCAATGGTTCTGACTTTGCTGATGTCGGTGTTTGCTCTGCTGGCACACTGGATGGCCTGCATCTGGTATATGATTGGCCGCAAGGAGATCGAGACCAGTGAGAACTGGGACATTGGTGAGTGTGATTTTAGAAGGTAGTTCAGTTGTAGTAAAGACCGCTCTGTGGTCACATATAAATAAGATTTGTTCTGTTTTGTGGTATTGTTATAGAAATTTAAAGGCTACTTAAGTATAGGGTAGAAATGTGTTTCTTTTGGTCTTTTCAGTGGGCAATAAAATAAAATAAAAATCTCTTCCTGGTGCTGTTATAATCAAAAGTAATCCCTGAACTGCCTATAATATTGTTCAATAGTTTAATAAGCGTTTCATTCAAGTGTGTAGTACGTGGTAATAATTGACTCTTTAGCAACATTAAACAGCAGCTCTGCACTGCTCTGCGGCAGTGTGTTTGTATTTGTGCTAATTTGACATGTTTATCCCCTGAGAATCTACCGTGTGTCTTCATTCCGCTCTGTCCCACGCCGACATCGCTCCTGTTACACGGGATAACATTACATACAGAAATAAAGTGACAATTTGGGTCCACCTTGGAGCAGTGATGATACAGTGTTGTCATTACTGTCCCTCTCGCTCTTGTGGTTATTTTAAGGCTGGCTCCATGAGCTGGGCAAACGTTTGGAGACCCCCTACTACAACACTACAATGGGCGGCCCAACCGTTCGCAGCTCCTACATCGCTGCACTCTACTTCACCCTGAGCAGCCTGACCAGTGTGGGCTTCGGCAACGTCTGCGCCAACACGGATGCTGAGAAGATATTTTCCATCTGCACCATGCTCATCGGAGGTACGGTCAACAGGCCACAGCTTGAAACTATGGTCTTAGTGAACAGATTGTTGTGACAACTTTTCACCTATTTACCAAAACAGCTCTGATGCACGCCCTGGTCTTCGGTAACGTGACGGCCATCATCCAGCGGATGTATTCCCGCCGCTCTCTCTACCACACACGGATGAAAGACCTGAAAGACTTCATCCGCGTTCATCGTCTATCACAGCAGCTCAAACAGCGCATGCTGGAGTACTTCCAGACCACGTGGTCTGTCAATAATGGCATCGATGCCAATGAGGTAAGGGCTCATTATTGTCACACAGTGAAATTCAGAAGCACTAACCAGCTAGCAGAGCAGTCCAGCTTTCTTAATAATTATTAAGCGACTCTCGTTGCTTCTGTCACAAATCCGCAGCTGCTGCACGACTTTCCTGACGAGCTGCGGGCCGACATCGCCATGCAACTCAACAAGGACATTCTCCAGCTGCCCGTGTTTAAGGGCGCCAGCCGCGGCTGCCTGCGATCCCTCTCTCTACATATCAAAACCTCCTTCTGCGTCCCGGGGGAGTACCTGATCCGTCAGGGCGACGCCCTGCATGCTAGCTACTTTGTCTGCTCTGGGTCTCTGGAGGTCCTCAAAGACAGCATGGTTCTGGCAATATTAGGTTGGTATTTGAGTCACCTCACCTCAGATTTTTTTTTTTAATGTAGCATGGATTTAATCAAAAGTTTGGAATGTGTTTGTTGTGGCTTTTAGGAAAAGGGGACCTGATTGGGTCGGACCTTCCCAGTACAGAGCAGGTGATCAAGACCAACGCTGATGTGAAGGCCTTGACCTACTGCGACCTGCAGTACATCAGTGTACGAGGCCTCAGAGAAGTGCTGGAACTTTACCCGGAGTACGCCAGTCTGTTCGCCGCTGACATCCACAACAACCTCACCTACAATCTGCGTGAAGGCAGCCAGGATGAGGTAACAGCAGCAGCATACACTCCACTGGTGTCTCTGTATTTTTACCTTTTGAAGAATTTGAATCTGGGCATAAACCAGCTTTATGAAAAATCAATGGGATACATTGATTAATTCATTGTAATTTTATGCGATATGTATTATGTATTAGTGGTTATATTGCTGTGAAATTATACAATGCACTGCAGCCTGTGTGTAATGTATGCTAAAGTGGAGCAACAGGGTCACAGTGAAAGCACACCGTGACGCTGCCTGAGGACCCTTCCTTCCTCGCTCTGGTTCCACCGCTGCAGCCACGGGGCTGCGAAGTGGCTCCCTGTCACACCATTAAGCGTGCGTGCACATCAGTGTCACACAGCAGCGTGAGCTCCCTCTTAACAGGCAGTGGCACAGCAGGGATGACATCACACCTAGACACGGACCTGAAATTACCACCTGTTGCCTCTAATGATATAATGTAGTTTAGGGAAATAAAAGCGTACGGGTAAAGAATCTGTTTAATGGATCTATTGAAATGCAATTTCTACAAAATCAGTACCACACAGTGGGCAAATATGACTGTGTATCTGCCACACAGTGGGCAAATATGACTGTGTATGTATTTCGTAAGTATTTTCTTTTTGTGTATTTTTTTTGGCTTGTCGTTTGTGGAGGATGAAAGACAGATGTGTCCCAATAATAATTAGTGGAAGGACAAAAATAGATCACACAGCTTAGAGTGGATAAATGAGGCCTTCAAAACAGGATGGTCGTCATTGACAAGTTACCTTCATAATCAGACACCATGGGTAACATTTCTCAGAATTAAAGAAAGGAAAACCAAGAGTCCCATTCTCATTGGTTCTCTAAGGTTCTCTGCTGGGCCGTGGCAGACGTATTAGCTCCACTGAGCTCCGGTCTTTAATTGAGATTGAATGAGGCCTCTCAGGGACCAGGCTGATCACAAGTATTATCCCTGTAACTCTCCTACCATCTGCTAAGAGTTTTTTTTTTTTTTTTTTACACACCCGCCTCCACCAGCCTCTTGACAGGATGAAGAAGTTTGCAGCTACCTGTCAAAGCTGACTATATCTCAAGGTTCCTGAATATATTGTCCTCAACTTATGCATCTTGTCAGAGTGTGAAGCCCAGAATTGTTGCTTTCACTCACGTCGGATGATTCCCGTTTATAATAATGTAAGTCAGCTGTGTTGAAAAGCGTTTAGTTGAAGTGGAACATCAGTTTTTTTTTTGTTATTTACTTTCGCTAAAAAACATGAAACCTTGTTTTAATGTCGTGAGGAAGTGATGAACTTCTGTATTTTTGTAGTCTTGGTACTGTCATTCGTTAAAGGTTTGACTGAGAATATAAAACAAGAAATGGAACTTGCGATCAGTGTGAACATCATGAGCTTTTTTTTTTTTCGCCAAATGATTCAAATCACTAGCAGTTCAGCTGTAGTAATGACATGATCTCCTGTCAGCGGTGTGTTCGTAGGTTGCTGCAGCAGGTGAAAATGGTGACTGCAGCATTTGATGAGGTTGGATCAAATTGTGTGGTCCCAGAGGGAGAGGTCGTGCCGTCCCGGGACAGAGTGGGACGGTCATTACTACAGTGGGGAGTCAAAATGTGTAGGATTACAATGACCGCGTAGCCACAGGCAGATTCATGACATCACAACAGCAGGTTCAACAAAGTTGTTCAAAGCAGCTGCGGCGAGAGGGTGCAAAGAGAGAGCTGGAAGTGATATGAGCTTCCACTGGTGTGATGGAAATAACAGTGTGCACATGAGCTGATAAAATGTTACAGGAGATGGAAACTTCAGATGCACTTTAGGATCACTCTAGACTCCCATCTTCTGTATCACTTTCTGTCAGTCCAGGTTCACATTCTGTTGATTGTTTTACATGAGTGTATTTCTAATTCCCTTCTTTCTGTCGCTGCAGGGACTGAACAGATTTTCAAGGTCTCCCAGACTCTCCCATGTGAGTTTGATACACACTGTCTTCTCGCCCATTTGAAATCATTTGAGAGGTCACAAGGTCACATGTCTGCTGCATGAATGCATTGGTATAATGCCTGTAGATATGTCATCACCTTAAGGTCAGGATTCTCAGTGTAACCGTTTCAGTACATCTAGGACGTGGTGCATTGCTGGTGATTACTGTAGGAGGGTTGGTCAAGGACGTCCCCTACAGGTTGAAACTCATTTGGACCAGAAAGGGCATTTCACTCCCCGCAGTTTGAGCACTAACTGGGTCACCAGCTCTTTTAGTGGGGAATCTTTTCTGTTACTTTACTCTCTATGTGCCATATCAATTTGCTGTTGATTCTAAATTTAAAATGTAAAATATTTGCAAAGGCAACAAACGTATATACGTATATATATTTCAGAATTTACATTATATATCATACATTTTTATAAGGGCTCTCCGATGTTAACCTTTTGCCGACACTAAAATGCTGTTATTTGTCCAAACACTTAAATACCAATATGGGCCTGGTAATATTTATTTATTTATCTGTACAAACCACTGTATTACTGTGACAGTGCTGCCATCTAGTGATTTTCACTTTAATATACAGCCGTTTATCCCTAAAACTATTTTTAGAGCACACAGCATTTGGCGAAGCCCAAGCATTACGTTATCGGGTATTCATTAACGGAGAAAAAACGATGACGATTCTTACAAACATTACATAATTATGCTAATATCGGGTGGATAATATCAATCGGTTGATATTATCAGACATCCCTAATTTTTATATATTATTATTTTAGATAATTATTATGCATGTGAATGCTATCTAACTAATATATGCAAGTGTGTGTTCTGTTTTTATATGCATATATATATTACATTTTTTTGTATTTAATTAAATTTCATTATTCGTGTTATTAATTCATTAATCCAGTGGTGACCTTTGTGACACAGGAACCAAGGCTCCCCTCCATCGTGGAAACTAAGGGCGATGACTTTGATGACTCCTTCCATCACTCCCCATCTACTCGTTCTCGTCGCAACCTCCTGCTGCCGAACTTGAGCAGTCCTGTCCGCCGGACGTCCCTGGGAAACCTCCTGGGCGACGAGTTACGGCAGTTCAACGCTCTGCGACGCTGTCGTTCCCCTAACCTGAGCCGTGGGTTCCTCGGGCAGAGCTTATCCCCTCTGCCCTCGGCCAAACGAGAGCACGCCGTCCTCACATCTGCTTCTTCCCTGACCTCGGAACAGGCTGAGTCTGGAGCCGAGCCAAAGCCTTCAAAGCTGCTAATTCCAACCCTCACCTGCTGTGGACCTCCTGACCTGAGTCCAAGGTAATGAAAGGACCAGCATTTATTTGAAGGTACTTATCACGAGTTGAAATTTAAAACAGAAATAATCGAGCCTTTTGAATACATCAGAAGAACTAGTCACTAACGACTGATACCAGGTCTGCTGCCTCGTTAGAATCTAATCATGGAGGAGAAACACATCAAGTTGTCTCCCAGAGACATCTATTACGGTTTATCGCCGACCCCTCTCACAGACGGTATCAGATGGAACTTTATGGAGCAGATTACATCTCTGCGTGATGGCTCTAGAAAGTCAGACACGACCTGAATACAGTGCCGCAGAAATCAACACCTCGAGTCATGCAAGAGAAACCTGCATCATCCACCTGATGTCAACTTCAAGTATTTGAATTGCAAATTCCAACAGATGTCCCTTCGTTACATTACCGTAGCGTCTTATCTCCCTGACCCACTCTGCATTATCTGTATTCATAAAGTATCCCTAAGTCATCCAGTATCTCCTACATATGGTTAGGTGCTATTTCAGAGAGCTCGGGTGTTCAAGCACGTGGGCCTCTGCCAGCAGAGGCTCTCATGCCGCGTACGCCCGGGTCGTCTACCGACCTCCGTTGATAATTGAAAAAGGCCCGACTGTAACACTAACTCAAGCTTCTCACCTTCTCACCCCCTCCCACCAGGATCGTAGACGGCATCGAAGACAATGAGCGCATGTTCCATTTCAGCGCAGAGCGCAGCGGGCCTAAAGCCAGCACAGGTGGCGGCGTCCAAGGTAAGCCAAACCGCCACCAGCTGTGAGGGTCACCTGGGTGCCAGGTGGCCGAAGGGTAATTTCAAAGAGTTCAAACGGTGGACATGGTGACGCCGAGCAGCCTCCTCCTTTGGAAACATGAGAGCGAGAAAGAAAGAAGTGACAGCCAGGTGTCCGGAGAGTCAGAGAACATGTAAAGGGACATGTGAGGTCAGAGCAGGGCCTCGGCCGTCGGTCACCAGCTCTTACTGATGATTGCTAGCGTTATAATGGGAATATCAGGTTCTCTTTCCATAACTAAATACAGGTTCATCCTGCAGCACAAGATGAAACTCCAACCTACCAAGTTATATATTTAGTTTTGATCATATTTGATCCAATTCTATAAAAACTCCTTTTATATGCTTCACTCTGAACATACTGCATATACATACTTTATATATACAGTATGTACTCTGCATATAATCTATTTCTATCTGCTGTTATTTTATAATTATATTTATATATACTCACACTGTACTACACACTGTGCATGTACTTACATCTACTGTTGCTCTTAATAGCCATGTCCTGTCTATGTGTTCTGTATCTAGATTTTAGACTTGTGTTATTTACATTATAGATTTGCGTTATGTTAGATGCAGTTACTGTGTACTTCAACTTGAACTTCAACCTGATCCTGATCCTTTAGAAAGTTTGTACTGAGAACAGTGGGTAATAGGAAGTAAAATCCCTCCTCGTCAGGATAGCATACCTGATATTTCAAATGACGTTTTGGAAATAATCATCATTTACACCATTTATCTGTTCCAGACTCCACGCGGCCCAACACGGCTCTCGTGATGGAGACAGAGGAGGTGAAGCAGAGCATCAGTCAGCTCAACCAGAAGGTAAACGACAGTCTGTGGAAATCATTCTAGATCTGGGTTCATAGATCCCTTCTGATGATGTACTGTAGATCAGGTCAGTGACGTTCTTAACTCTCAACTTGGATGTAAAAACAGTGTAAGAACAGGTGAAACTAGAGCATCCAGATGGCCAGCTAGTTTGCTGTCTGTTGTTGAAAATGAATTAATCAGCCGGGCACTTGTGCGATGCAGTGTTGCCGGGAATGCTGACTCGACACTTTGAAGCCAGTAGAAATCCTGCTGACAGCCCCCCGCTCCACTTATTGTTCCCTCCTCTATTCCCTGTGTGCTCCGCTGGTTTATTCCAGGTTTCCTGTGTACTTTACCCCGATTTGCGTCACTCCTCTCGCTGTGTGTCACATTGGATTCCACCAGTTTCCAAGAATATTTCCTGCAGGCGTAGGAAGGACTGTGCTATGTTTAGCTCCCTTTTGGGAGGTCACTGGTAAAAATCCTACGTACGTGCTCTTTTTTTTTTTGGAGACTCAAATTAAAGCTGAAGATGAAACGCAGCAGGAGTGGTCAGGATCGCCTGATGACAACACACTGGCTCGTATCTCGGAATACTTGTATGTTGAGACGCTGGTATCTCGGAATACTTGTATGTATCTCAGGGTATTACTGTATAGGGGAAAATATATATTTGTTTAATTCAGGCTGCGTTACAGTTTACCGTGGCAAGAGAGCGATAATTAAAGTGCATTTACCGTGGCAAGAGAGCGATAATTAAGCAGAAAAGAACACGAAAAGAACACGGTACTTACAATAAAAAATATAAATAAATACTTTAACAAATCATGCATTTTTAACAGAATTCTACAGTATTATGAATTAATTTTATTTTAGTTTTGGTAGTATTTTTTAATTCGCCAAATGAATACTTTTCATTCGTGTGTTTTTCTTTGAAGTTCAGTGTTAGCTCATGTTATTCCTTTCTCCCATTATTGGAAGCTAAAGGCTAGCAGATCGAATCTTATCTTAAGAAAAAACAATGCCCCATTGCAATATGATTTCAGCAGTAGGTGTCACTAAATTCTATGTACCTTCTGTTCATAAATGGTGTGAATGCTAGATATATAGTAGTCAAAATATTTCCTTTCTACACAGATGGGCAACTTAAATCAGGAGGTGTCTGAGCTCACCAAGGGCCTGCATCACATGATGCACCTTCTTCAGACTTACATATCTGCCCACCACTACAACCCGTCCCTCAACTCGTACCAGTACAGGACCCAGGACGGCCACAGCCACCAATTCATCCCCCCTGGTGGCCACTGGAGCTACAGCGGATGTGCTGAATCCCAAACTGAAAGTCATGGTCAACCTTCATCCTCCAGTTTACCTTCTCACCTGTGTCCACCCAGAGTGCACTCACAGCATGGCTCTGAGTCTTTGACCACGCATCTGTGGGACGCTCCGTCTCTTCCCACCAACGGCTCAGGCTTCTTGGGTGGAAGTACCAACCTCTTCCCAGAAGCAGACCGTGAAAACTCTGAAAACAGACCTCTCAGTGCTCACCCACCCACCATCAGCCAGTCTCAGCCCACGTTGTACCTGCAACCACCAGGTGACAGAAAAGAACATTCCAGCCATTTATTATTCAACTCCCCAGTTGGTTCACCTACACGAAACTCCCCAAACTCTTACCCCCATCTGTGTCCACCCCCAGACTCCCATGTCACGGCATCACAGAGCCCACCTGACGACATATCCGTGCTGATGTCCACCCAAACATCTCGTCATTTTCTCCATAACCCTTCTATTTACCAACTCCAAGACTCGTACCCGTCGGTCCAGCCTGTGTCTGTCTCCTTGCCCACACTGACCGGCCGCCACCTCGGATCCTCACTGGACTCCGGCTCCCCACAAACCAATGAGCCGCACATCCCGCTCCAAGACCCAACTGCCATCGAACACACCAGTCTGGAGTGCCTACTGGGGAACAGGGGCTCCATGGAGAGCAGGGACAGTGAGAGCATCTCGTCACGGAGGTCAAGCATCGGCGTCCAGACACAGAGCACAGAACAGTCGTGGTGTCTGGACCTCACAGACTGAATGGGTTTTAGTCACAGGCACACATGAACCAAAACGAACATCGATTTCGATGTGACTTCGTACAGTGTTTTTATGAGATTGCTGGAAAAATCTTTGCTGCGTGCTGTATTTCCTGTTTGTTTAAATGGGTAGAAATCGACACAACTTACACTTTCTATGCAAGCATGTCATGGCATTAGTGCATTCATTTGGCTTTAGAAGATTGTCATAAACCAGGCGTGGTTTATGACTCGTGGTTTATGACTCGCGGGTCACAATTGTCCTAAATTTAAACAGGGGGCCGGGTCAGGAGCAGATCGATGGAGCGTTGGTGTGAACTAAGATAAATGACATGTAAAAGTCATGCATAAAGGCCAATATTCTTTTATCATATTCTATGCCATCTATTGGGGAAATATGGGTATTGCAGGGAAAGGCAGAAGTAGAATGATAATATAAATAAATTATATAATTTGGAAAAGATTGGTGGGCCGGATTAAAAAGCTGAACGGGCCGCATCCGGCCCCCGGGCCTTTGTTTGCCCAGTTGTATATATTGTATGTTTTTTCTTACGCCTTCAGAGCAAATGCGTGGTTAAAACACCTGTTACCTCCTTGCATGGTAAAAATATTTATTCTTTTTCCTAAGGAAAAGGTTTCCAAACCATTGTGCGAGAATCTTCAGGAAAAACAAACAAAAAAAACCTGTTGATCGTGCACACAGACACTGTATTCAAAAGACGGATGGATTGTTTTGGAATTAATGTTTTTTAAAACGTTTATTAAAGAACTATAGAAATATACGCATCCTAAACAGACCAACTGTTCAAAGTATGATTTCAAACAATTTTAGAAAATGAACCGGCGTTCAAGTCTGGCCTCTCAACTGTATTCATTTTTACATTGTGAAAGAGTTGGACACAGTTCCAAATAATATCACATATAAAAAGATAATGATATTATAGCATACAAACAGTTAAAGAAATACAATATCAATATAGTTTAAAATAAATTAAGCATTATTAGATAAAAACAACAACAGGTTAACATTTTTAAAAAAATTACATCTGGTGTCTCTCTTACACAACAGTTCCTAATTGTTCTGGGTTTTGGACCGGGACTGAGTCACTAAGGTATAATGGAGCACTCTGGATAAAGTGTCTTGCCCAAGGACACTTGGTCTGGATTGGAACCTAGCTATCTGGGTGGATGAACTTCCCACCCACTGATTTAATTTTTTTGTCCCAGTATTTAAGATTTTTTTTTTCTGGTTAATATATTGGTACAATCATTCTGAATGGTATTCTTATTGACTGATAAAAACAAATAAAGTATACAGACAATCTCTGTCTCCACGGTGACTTTTGATTGACTTGGCTTCTCCGATTTAAGGAAATAAAAAAAATAAAAACATCTCACACATGATGTGGACAGTACAAAGTACGAGGACAGGACGAGTACAGGTGATGTTTACGTTGCTGTATTTGTTTATTGACATTTTGTACTTTTTCTTTTTGACAAGCCTAGTGTTATTGTTGAATTTCCCAGGTTTGTCTGGGCCTTTCCAAAGTCAATGATTTATCTGAATGTTGACAGTTGAGCAACCAAAACCAGATAAATATGTCAATCGGACACACTGTCAAAAGTACAGAACTCGCGAAGGACAAAAAGGACAAGTAAGTCATTCTATCTTTGACTTGATTGATTTATAAATTATAAGTTGGAATATTTTGATAACTATAAATGTGTATGTTTTATTTTTTTTAACAGATTGCTGTTGTGTTCAAGAATCTGGAAATATGAAGGCAGTGACTATTGTTTTTTTGACAGCGCTGGTTGTCAGCCACAGTGAGTAAATATGAATATATATATATATATATATATATATACATACATACATACATACAGGAAACAAAGGATACTCGTATGTTCCTGGGTAAGCAGAAGAGTTTGTATTGTCCTGTGTCCTCAGGTGAAGCCTTGAGGTGCTACTGTGGAGGCAGGCATCAGTGTCCAGGTGGGGTGGAGACCTGCCGTGTTGGAGACGACGTTTGTTCCAGCATCACATATACTATCCCCAGTAAGTATAGGCCTGTAGTGTTTGAGGAAAACTCTCAATCTATCTAATATATATATATTTATATATACACATATAATTTTTTTTCAAGTTGTCTGAAAATGGGTTCTGTCGTATTTTCTCCCCAGGTCCCAGCTTCACTAAACGCTGCTCAAACACAGTCTTTTGTAAATTCCTCAGTGATTCACCTCTGTCAACTGGAACCTGCTGCAACACTGATCTGTGCAATGTTTAAACCATGGGCTGATGATCACTGTATATGATGTAAATATAGCCAACATTGCCAAACATCCATGTCATGTGTAAAAATAAATCGACTAAATATAAAACTATTATTTAGTTGTTGTTGTTATTATTAGTAGTAGTAGTATTGTTGAAATCATTTCATTTTCTGATTGTATATATATACATGTAAATATAGCCAACATTGCCAAACATCCATGTCATGTGTAAAAATAAATCGACTAAATATAAAACTATTATTTAGTTGTTGTTGTTATTATTAGTAGTAGTAGTATTGTTGAAATCATTTCTTGCAACTGTATATATACAGTATATATATATATATATATATATATATATATATACACACACATATATATATATATATATATATATATATATATATATATATATATATATATATATATATATATAATACAAAGGTCCTATGCTGAGTGAATACTTATGTTTCCCATAGGATCCAATCAGAAAATCTTGTTAAAGTGAATGTAATTAATGCTGTTAGCAGTTGATCCTAAGTCCCTAAACTCCTGCACCTTCACCACCTCTGCTCCTTGTAGCCTCACCATTTCACTGTTCTCCCTTTCGTTTACACACATGTACTCTGTTCTCTTCTGTTCTGTCACTGTCCCATCTCTTCTTCGCTAATCTCTTTCTCTGCACACTCTCCTGGACCTCATCATTCCACCACCAGGTCTCTTTGTCCTCCTTTCTCTGCCCAGAGGACATACCTAGCACCTTCCTACCTGTCTCCCTAATCACAGCAGCTGTGGTCTCCTGTTTTTCTGATACGCATACTTGATTTGGCCAAAGGTTTTACAGTGGATGCATTTTCTGACACAAACCTCACCATTTATCCGGGCTTGGGACCAGCACTATAGAAACACTGAAAAAAAATGCTGAGCTTTAAACCAGCCACTAGGGTGCACCCGTGGGTGGGTTTAAGCCTCAGCATTTTTTTTTCATTCAGAAGGACTACATTGTTCAGGAATCTTTTGTAAAAAAATGTTAACTATGTTTAAAAGTGCAAAATCATTGTTTTTTGGTTGTTGTTTTTTTTTTTTCAAAAGTCATGGAAATTTGTCTAGTGTTTCTATACCAAGACTATTTTAAACACAGCTAGAGTAAAATGGTTAGGTGTACAGTAGAGCTGCTCCTTTAAGATACAGCATTTTCCAAAAACTACCAATTTTTGTGCTTTAAAAGAAACAACCATCTAGTTAGCCATCTGTGAAGTGTGCCTACGCCCCAATAAATCTGCCTCTTAATTACTGTGGGAAGGTATATGTACTGTACTGTAGAGATAGTCTCTCTTTACCGCAGGCTCTCTGGGTTTCCACCGACGTCTCTGAGCTGGGCGAATACTTCTTGCTACCATCAGAAAGGTCACTGTCGGAGTGACAGATGGAAGGGCTGTGAAGATAAAAAGGGAACTGAGGCTGTAAGAAATAATTTCTCTTTCAATAATAAAGGTCAGTCCTCTTTGAAGGAGTCTGATTATTGACCGCAGCATTGATGTCAGGACAGTGTGTTCAGACTTCTCCTTTCGTGGATGAAAGACACTTACGCAAAGATTGAGTTGTTGAATATTCGAGAAAGGGCGAAGTTGATATGGCTGACCACATGACTGACGTGTTTCCGTGATTCAAACCTCAGGGAGTAGGTGGACTTGTCAGTGTCAATGATAACCTGCGCAGAATAGGGAAGCCAACTGTGGTGAGGAAGGAATATTGATATACAGTATGTGTGTACATATATTTTCTGTATATATATATATATATATATATATTGTTGCTGTCAATACAAATCCTGTGTGAACAGAGTTATTTCAGATTCCAGATGAACTTCCTTTGTCAAATGTCATCTTTACTCACTGTGGCTGAAAAGCAGAACTATCAAAAGAGCCAAAATCACAGTCTTCATGCTGTAGAGCCTTGACTTTAACGCTGAGTCTGAAAGAGGAAAGAGACTTTTCAAATTCACCATCAAACTTGGAGTGGTTCTACTAATGTAGACATAGAACAACAATGATCCGACAATCCATACCTGCTTCTTTGTCCTTCTTCTGCTCTGATTCCTCTGATGTTTGCTGCCACACCACGGGATTTGCTTATTTATTTGTCTGCTGTTTGTTGCACAAGGGATTCAAATCCCACCTATGGTTTACTTTGGAAAAGACAAAGTTGCGCAATGAACTCCGCTTCAATAACAAACATGTTTGGATCTTCTGATGTGATGACCAGTGTTGACAGCAGCAGTGAGACTCACTCTTTTTAGTCAGTATTGCATTACTTTGTCTTTACCCCAATACCCCTGGTGGGATTTTCTTCAATTGTGCAACAAACACAGGATAAATAGGTGACTCCTCAAAGCTGGGAGAAAACATTTGAGGCGTCAGAGCTCAGAAAGGACAACTGAACAGGTCAGACACGTTGGAATGGATTGTTGGGTGGTTGGTTTTTTATATACTTAATCTGTTCTACTTCTTCATTTACAGACGTGTGTTGTTGAAGGACAAACATTGAAACCATGAAGACTGTGATGGTGGCTCTTTTGATGGTGTTGGTTGTCAGCCACAGTGAGTAGGACTCTTTGTTTCTTCCATAGTTTCACTCCATAGTTCAATTATTGAATTTTTTTTAATGTAAAATATAGATTTCTTCTTTTTTTTAAAGAACATCGTATTTTAATTCATCTTGGTGTTGGGGGGGTTGTTGCAGGTGAAGCCTTGAAGTGTAAATGTGGAGGGAAGCGTAGATGCTCAGGTTCTACAGAGACTTGCCATGGTTCAAATCCAGTCTGTGCCAGCATCACCTTCACTGGTCCCAGTAAGTATGACAACACTGGAATCTCCATGGACGTCCTGGTTCTACAGAAAACATACAGTGACCTGAGCCTTCATCTGATCTCTGTTTCATTTTGTCACAGGTCCTGGTTACTTCAGGGGCTGTTATGATAGAAATGACTGCAGAATGTTAAGCAGTTCACCAGTATCCACGGGTTACTGCTGCAGTACTGATCTGTGCAACTGAACAATGATCATCACTGAACAACAGTGCACTGTAGTGTTGACTGCATTGTCCAAATAAACTTCACTGGGAATAACGGTTGTTGTTGTCAAACGGAAATCTTCATTTACTCAGGCACACACTTTTGATGATTGTGCCGCCATTTTGAAATGTTCTGTTCTGGTGTTAAAAACTTTTAATTACAAAACATGCTTTACCTTACTTGTCCACAAGATGACAGTATAACCTTCAAATCAATGAACAATCTTCATTGGCAAATTTCCCTGACCAGGGAGCTGAGGTGTTCTTTCTGACCAGTTAAAGTGATGTGACCACTGCCACTGCAATCATAACAATAAAACATATATAAAATAAAGCTGTTCACCACGGAATCTTTTTTTTAATTATTTGGCTACCTTCATGTGGAGCTTTGGCCCAGAGGCAATATCTCTTAGTCTCTTCTTAGTGAAGGTAAGATGGAGTTGCCTTCAGTTTCACTGGACGAAGCCCAGGTTAGTGCATGTCTGAAAGAGAACAGCTTCACCTTGATGTGGATGGAGGTTTATACGCTGTCTGAAGACATGTTAGATGAAAACAACGAGTCTGTTTTGTTAAGACAAAAAAATGCAAAGGCAATAAAAAGACCAACATTTTGTTGTTACAATATTAACATTAAACAAAAACAAAATTGAACACACTGAGAAATATGTCTGTCTGCTGAAATGTCTAGTTTGAACTAAAATAGTGGGTGATGTCTTAGTGTCAGGCCTGACGGAGAATTAGCTGTGCTCAGATCCAGTCATCAAACATATTCAAATGTGTAGTGAGCCAAGGAACACGTTTGTCAGATCAGCATTACATTTACTCACAAACAAACCAAGGATAAATATCAACTCAAACTGCCATAAAATGACATGGGTGACTGTCATGACCAGTTCACCACAACACCATTGATGTAGTTTTAAAGTGTACTTGTTATAATTTCCATCAAAAGCCTTCATTTCTGAGAACTGCGGCTGTTAAAATTCAACTGTTTCCAGTTGACTTGTTCAACAAGTATTGAATGTCATTTTTGTGAAATGTGCTGCCATCTAGTGGTGTGAGTCCGCAGTATAATTTCAAACATGCAGGATGGGAAAGTCACAGTAGTTATTCCTACACTAACCCGGACTTCGGTCCGGAAGGCCCCAGGTTCGAATCCACCAACTGCCAGGTTGCCACTGAGATGCACTGAGCATGGCATCGTCCTCAAGCACTGCTCCCCGGGCGCTGACCACGGCTGCCCACTGTTCACTTGGTGATGGGTTAAATGCAGAGGTTAAATTTCGTTGTGCATGGTGTGCTGTGCTGTGCTGTGTCACAATGACAAATAAAGATAAGTTTAAGTTTAAGTTTAAGTTTAAACCCGTCCTGTGTCTGACGAAGAAAAGGGCCGTGAGGAGACAGAACATTTCAAAATTGTGATGATCATTGTTCAGTTGCACAGATCAGTACTGCAGCAGTAACCCGTGGATACTGGTGAACTGCTTAACATTCTGCAGTCATTTCTATCATAACAGCCCCTGAAGTAACCAGGACCTGTGACAAAATGAAACAGAGATCAGATGAAGGCTCAGGTCACTGTATGTTTTCTGTAGAACCAGGACGTCCATGGAGATTCCAGTGTTGTCATACTTACTGGAACCTGGATTTGAACCATGGCAAGTCTCTGTAGAACCTGAGCATCTACACTTCCCTCCACATTTACACTTCAAGGCTTCACCTGCAACAACCCCTAATCCTGTGTTTGTTCCTGTGTTTGTTGCACAATTGAAGAAAATCCCACCAGGGGTATTGGGACAAAGTAATGCAATACTTTTGTTTGACTCAAAATGGTTCATTTATGTACCGTAGTCTCTACCGACCACCAAAAATAATTTTTACAATGCCATGGATAAGTACATTTAACAGTTTTTGACACTTCTTGGCCAGAATTCTACATGAGAAGTAAAAGACATAATCATCTGCAAAAGTGTTGACGTCAACCAACTCCATAGTTCACATGATGAAGGATAGTCGGGCAGAAAATGATGCATTTCAAATGGTGCTTTTTATTGCAATGTGTTGCATTCCCACATTCATAGATGTTATAGATTTGTTAGTCAAAGCATCATTTCCTCAAGGTTGGCATCCTCACCTTGGAAAAAGCAGAGGGATCAAATGCACGAGGTGTTTGTATTTTGAGTGTAGTAGAGAAGTGTGTGTGTGTGTGTGTGTGTAAACTTGAGCAGCCACGAACATATGAATGAGAAAAAAAATACTTCCAGTAGATGCAAAAAAGACAGTTTTAATTGTCAAAAGAAAAAAAATGAGAGACAGAGACAGTGAGAAAGAAAGAGAGAGAGAGAAAGAGAGAGAGAGTTTTTTTGTCTATCAGCCTACAGGGCTCTCACTCCCTACAGGGACTGGACCCGGCCTGAGACTGATTGTCTACAACATTCCAAAGAAAAGGTAGATTTTCTTTATATTCACGTTACACACCTGAACAGGAGGAAGGTTGAGGGGCCGTAAGAGAGAGAGAGAGAGAGAGAAAGAGAGGAGAAAGTGTCAACACTGACTGATCTGATGGTCATCTCTGTCTGTCTTCATGTCACCACAGGCACCGCTTACTTTAAAGGCTGCTTCCATGAAAGGGCGTGTCAAATGTTGACCAGTTCAGCAACCTCATCTGGTCGGTGCTGCAGTACTGACCGGTGCAACCGTTAATTGATCAGCACTGACTCATCTTCAAATAAATCAATACATAAATACAATCCAACATGTATTCATCACTGCATTATGACTAATAAATATTACTAAGCTGCCAATGATGTCCACGTCCTTTGATTTAAATATGGACATTTCTGTGTCTGTTACTTTGTGAGAACAGTGAGTTTTAATGTGAAAAAAACTAAGAACTGGTAATATGATGTTGATAACTTGTTCATTCACTTCCTGCTTTGGAAACAGGAGCAAATCCTTTCTCGGTGTAAAACCTTCCCTCATACAACAGTAAGGAAGAAGGTCGTACAATTCTCTTATAAATGACATTAGGTGTCATTTACTTTCCTCTTTCAATAATGATATATCTTAAAGATAACACTTAGACGTTTTACCTGATGTGAGATTAATAAAAAAAATTCAAAAACAAAAACAATTTCACCATAAATTATATTTTGTATACGTTTGAATATGTGATTAAATCAAGATAATGTGAGAATAATAAAGCAAGAACCAACGGTTGCAAGGAAATTAGCGTTTTAATGACGTAATACTTCTCACCTCGTTGGATTGGTTCATCTTTTGCGTCACGTGACAGGCAAACCAGGAAGTGTTTTTGTTCGCCAAAGCGGAAGTACTCATTTTACTGCAGTCAGGAGTGTACAGGCATCAAAGGAGAATATATCATTAGAAGGAAATAACTGTGGTTAAAGTCGTAGTCTGCCAGACGGGGCAAAGATTCTTTCTTTGCTGGTAAGAACGTCAAGGTGTTATTTGTTTACTTAAATTGTTCTCCCTCGTAATTCGACGTTAGCATAGGTAGCCTTAGCTTCTGAGCTAACTTTTTACTTGGTCTTTTTAAAAATAGAATAGAATAGTCTTTGTTGTCATTGTAACACGGGGGTACAACGGAATTTAGCGTTACATGGTCAAAGTTGAGATCTGTGAAATCGAACCGTTTCGTAATCATATTATTTTTAGTGAGACTTTGTAATTAATAAAAACAACCTTAACTTTTACTGATTCTCGCGACTCGTCGTTAATGACAGTTGTCAAATATGTTGGTTTGATACAATGTACCAATAAGATTGTATTTTATTCACTTTCAAGCTACTACAGCTGTGTTAAAATTCACTTTTATGCGTCGTTCAAATTTATATGTTTCTATTTCCTAACTAAATGCTTTTTCTCATTTTTTTTAAAGTCATTTTCCACAATCTGCCAGGACCTTCTTGTCACCCACCACCATCTGTACCTGTGGGTTCAGAGTTGCCTCTTGTCTAAACCCCCCTGTAAGCTGGTAGTTTTCTGCCCCTCTCAGGCAATTGACCTCTACAACAGTCTTCAATGGCTGGCCGCAGTGCAACAGCAGTAAGGCCCAATGGTTCTGCAACAGCAAACAAGATCTGCCAGTTTAAACTGGTGCTGCTGGGGGAGTCAGCAGTGGGCAAGTCCAGCTTAGTGCTGCGCTTTGTCAAAGGCCAGTTCCATGAATTTCAAGAGAGTACCATTGGAGGTATGAGACACAGTTGATTTTTGCTTTTGGTATGTTTGTCAGTGGTGTTGTAGTGATCAAGAAATTGCTGACATGTGTCTGTAGAAAGTTTATCTGAGACAGTGAGCATTTTACAAAGTAATCCAAACTTCAGTTTCCCCTTTGTGCATGTTTGGTATACATTGCTATCGTAATTTAGTTTTCTTGGTTTTATTATTGTTTTGTTTTACTATAATACAATTAATTAATGTATGTAATACTTTATCTTATTAAAAATATATTTTTTTCCCCTGTAGCTGCCTTTCTCACTCAGACTGTCTGTCTGGACGACACCACTGTCAAGTTTGAAATCTGGGACACGGCGGGTCAGGAACGTTACCACAGCCTGGCTCCAATGTACTACCGAGGAGCACAGGCAGCTGTTGTTGTCTACGACATTACCAATCCAGTAGGTTTTAGGGATAAAAAAAAAAATACAGTTTCATAGTCTGTACATACAGTTTTTCTTTTTCTTTTTTTTTCTATTGTTCTAGTTGGAAAGGTTGTTGACCTTCCTTTTGTAAAATTGTTAAAGATATAACATAAAATATAAATGAAAGAAGACCTACATGACATCTGTGGATTTAAGACAAAGGGAATACTGGTGGATAAACAAGTATCCATAATATCCATAATAAATTGATTGCGTTTCTGCTCGGCCAGGACACATTTGTACGAGCAAAAAACTGGGTGAAAGAGCTGCAGAGGCAAGCCAGCCCCAACATTGTGATAGCACTGGCAGGAAACAAGGCAGACATCGCCAACAAGAGAGCTGTTGATATTCAGGTGGGAACTAACAAATATACAAATCAGTATTGCGAACATTGTCGTGAAACTATGAAATAAAATGTCAGACAAATGTTTACTGTCACGATGATGTCTGCAGGAGGCCCAGACGTATGCCGATGACAACAATCTACTCTTCATGGAGACGTCAGCCAAGACAGCCATGAACGTCAATGAAATTTTCATGGCTATTGGCAAGTGTTTTTACATTATGTTTCCTATATTCATGCGAACAAGTACCACAGCAAACTATTAGTTTGTTTTATGAACTCATTATCTACACTGAACCGGAGAGGCAGTGGTTAAGGTTTTTGACATGGTCACATATCAAAACAGCTGCTTAATAGTTAAAAAAAATGTCTTAGCATCTGATTGATCTTGAATTAACATTGATGGACATGCATATTTTAGTTTAGGAATCTAACAATTTAGCTAAAATAGTTCATATTTTGATACAGTAGCCTATATATTTTAACAACAAATTTGCAAACTTTTTACATAGATTTTTTTTTGTAATTCAGTGATTCATTCAGTTCCTTGCAGTTTTTAAATCCATTTTTTAATCTTATTATATTTATAACACGGTCAGATCTGTTATATCTATCTGGAGAGTTCTAATTTCAAGTCAACACAATCCTGTTTGTGCGGAGTTAAAAAAGAAAAAAATTCACAGAGAAAGAATTTTTAAAATAATTTAAAGACAATCTGGTCATTTCTGTGTACTTTATTCAATTAAAGTTAATTCTCCAATTTTTCAAAATAATACATTTTCAGACTCCAATACTATCAGAAGAAGGTCTAATAGATATTTCATTTTGAAAATTTACCGATCCATATGTTCGGTTTTTGTTAGAAAAAAGGTAGGAGACACCTGGTGTATAACACACATGTTGGACTGGTCACTGCAACTTTCTGTCTGTGTTACCTTAAAGTCGTTACTGCTCCTTTAATTCCTAAATGTACTTCTAATGTCTCCACGGACAGTTGAAGATAAATGAGTGAATAATTCTGTTTTCTTTTTTTGCCTCGCAGCTAAGAAGTTGCCGAAGAATGATGCTCAGGGTGGAACTGGACAGGGTGGACGAACCCGAACAGGAGTAGATCTACAAGAAAATGCTCCTCAGGGACGCAGCGGTCATTGCTGCGGCGGCAGCAACAACTAGCAAGTACAAATAGAACAAGTTTAGTGAGCGAGCCTGGAACATTGTTTTAAGGACACCATGTAGCAAAGCCCAGAGAGGCAGGACAGAGCAGAGCCTTTTGCAACTCCTGCACTTAAACTGAGATTACAGATGAGATTATCTGGATGCTCTTTGAATAAAGGAACATTTTTAAAAGAATCATAAGCTAGAGGGAGTAACCACAGTCCCTCATGACTTCTCTTCCGTCTTTACTTGTTGTTACTTACTTCTGTTTCCTTCTTCCTTCTATGTTGATTGAATTCTGACTTTTAGGGGTGATTTTTTTTTTTTTTTTGACATTTCCACCAATTTAAATCTTTTGTGTAATATCTGTATGTAATATATATACACTCGCAGGGTTGGTTAATTTCAGCTTTTGTTTTTTTTTTTTTTTCTTTCTTCAGAGTATACATGGATATGATCTATTAAAAATAGTGATTCTCTTCCCTAGGGACCTGTTCAAGAGCACAGCAGAAAAAATCTAAAAGGCTTTACACATGAAGCTGTTTCTAAAATCATGCAACAAATGCATATGTTAAAAATAAGTGTATTGTAACACCAAACAGTTGTTAGCCTTTTTTTAAATGAAATATGACAATAACTCTGTAAATCTTAAAATAATAAATGACATACAACAATCGTATTTTGTTTTGTTGCATGCAATCTATTATTTTAGTCTCTTGTTTTTGTCTTATTAACGAGTATTAACTGTTTTTTTTTTCTTTTTACAATTAATTGATTTTAAGGTTTCAGTAAACATTTGTCACCAATAGATGGCAGCATTTCACTGGAACTCACCTACACTAACCAATCCGGCGCTCCGTTCCTTCGTGATACCGTTGATGTACTTGTTTTGAGTGTCCAGTAGTAAAGTGCCTCATAAAACCTGACTCGATCTGGTTCTTCATCCTAAACCATTTATTTAAAATATATATGTATATATATATATGTACACATGTATTATTGAATAATATAACAGACCACCAATCCTACTGTCATAAGGTTGTCCTATTTTTTATTATTTTATCCTGTTAAGCAAGTATATGTCCTTAAAGGTTCACCCAGATGAATAATTTGCATAAGATCTTTTTTAAAATTCTCAACAACATCCTGTGCCTTTGTGAACTACAGTATCTTTTAAACCATGTCTATCATTTGTGCACAACTTTCAGGAGAAGCTCAGTCTGAAGAACCTGTGGGTCTCCTGGAGTATGGAGGTGGAGGTCTTCTCTCTGAGTCCATGATTTTTTGACCCAAACATCTGGTAGGTCAGAGCCATGGTTTCTGTTGTTTGTCTCTTGCTGTCAGATTCTTTTCACATTTTGACTTTGTATTTACTTCAACACTTCTTTATACTTGCTTAATTTAAAAATTAAGCAAGTATAAAATGGAAATGATAAATTATTAATATACTGCAAAATAATTCTCAAGAAGGATTTAGGCTGAGGTATTTGCAGGTGTAACTAAGAAAGGCCTGACTCGACAAAGTCAGGTTTGTGCAACTGTGATCTTTTGTGGATTTGCGAGGCAGAATATTTTGGACTTTTGAATTTTGAAACTAGCATTTTCGGAGTGGCGATACGATTCGTTTGAATTCATTTCAAACCCGAAGGGTCAGCGCTGTAGCTTGCTGTCGTTCTCTGTGTTCAAAGATAAAGAAAATAATGTATAGTGTGTGGTGGGGGTCGGGGGTTGGGTGTAAGTTATTTTGGTTTTTGCTGCCGCAGACACTACATTAAAAAATCCACTCTTAAATCCATTTAAACACACACAGACACACTGGCTGCCAGGAGCAGGCGGCTCCTTTCACACTAAATGATTTCTCATTTGCTGAGCTGTCAGTCAAGGTGGATTCTGTCAAAAGCATTTATGCATAATTTCACATTTGCCCTCTGTGAATAACAATGATGTAAGGTATAGACTTTAACTGACTGTTTGGTGGACATTAGAAGAATACAGTACAGTAAATAAATGGCATGTAGTCACAACATTTTTTAATTTTTATTACCAAATAGGTCAAACCCCCGTTTGCCTCAGTATGATGTGTTCACTCTATCTTGCTTGACAGAAGGGAAAGTCGTTGAATACCAAGGGCACAAGGACACACGATCTGGATTGCATTCTGTGGCGCAGGCTACGATTTCCGCAGATAACAAGGGTACATTTGATGTGGTACAATAATTGACTCTTATCTGAAATGAAACATCTGTATTGTCAAAGGATCAGAGGTTAGTGAGGAACAACAGTCCAAAGAAGAACAGTTTCTAAGGAGAAAAAGAGGGATTTTTCAAATCATCTCTTCATGTCGCGATTATTGACATTAGCTTCCTGCAGTAACAAGCGCTAGCAGAGAATAATCCAGATTGTCAGGTTTTCATGAAAACTGCGTTTATAATCAACTTTAGTAATAGTCATTTATTTTCCTACTTTTGGAGTGTTCCCTTGCCTCTGCTGCTGTACTGTGATTAGGATGTGCCTTGAAATGTCACAAACAGAAATTTATGAGGAAGTAATTCTATATTCATTAGAAAAGGAAAGTAATCCACGACATTGTCCCGGGGTGATTAAGTATTCAGCGCCTGCCCAGCTTCAATGTCATTGTTCAAGTTTGACTGTGCTCTTTTTAAGATGCTCCTTCACACTTTCAACTTCTCACCGAGCTAATGTTCTTGTCTTACTGTATGAAAGTATGAATATTAAATAAGCTCCAGGACGCCCCGCATGTCTGACCTTGATAACTTCCCAAGCAATAATATATTAATTTGACTGAAACCCAAGGATGCATAACAACAACGACAACAATATTGTTATTAATATTAATATATATTTTAATAATAATAATAATAATAATATTACTACTACTAATAATAATAATAATAACACATAATAAAATATTCTGTATTATTATTATTATTATTATTATTAATAATATTTTAAAATTTTATTTCAAATTTGCTTTCAACTTTTGAAGTGGCTAAATCATCCGTTTGATAGAACTATGTCTATGCCCAAGACAACCAAACTTCTAAGTTTTTCTCTGAAGAAAAATCTCACAGCCATCATCTCAGTGACACGAGCGCAAAAATAATATGAAAGATGTGTCATTGTCAAGATGCACATTGAAGCTCTCTAGAACTTCTATAAAAAGTAAACCCTTTATATACTGTAATACTGCACCTAACTGTGTGTACTGTATACTGCTACTTCCAGCCACTAACCTGTCGTTGTTTTTGAACTAAAACTGTACATAAGTGTATAAACAGATCCTTATGGAGTCTTCTGGGAATGGTTGGGTTTACATATACCTAATAAAGTGGCCCTTGTCGTGTTGTTGCTGTTGTCCATCTGGTTGAAGGTCACACGTGTTGTGCTCTCAGACGTGGTTTTGTGCATAATTGGGTTGTTATCAAGGATGCACCACTACATGGGCCAAACCTTTGAGTTGGCCGGCATCTCCCTTGATGACTGTGACTATAGTCCACATATTGGTAAATAAGATATGCATAATTAGCTGATGTCAGCGGCCCACGCTGCACTGACTGTTGGTCCATCACTATTCTGCTTCCTTCATTCTGACAGCATGACTTAAACCATACGATGCCATCTTTGTATTCCTCCTTTGTTTGTTTACCCTTTTAAACAGAAGGGGTGATTCTACACAGCTGTGTTAAATACCTGCATTGAACAGTCACTGAAACATGACTGCATACTACAGAGGTTCAAAGGAGATGCAGCCTGGAAACTTGTAATAATGAAGAGCTTAACAGATGCACCTCCTAAATTGACCGGTGGCTATATTTGTGATGATCCGGTCATGCTCAAATTCTGATTACAGTAGAGTTCAAAGGAATGTTGCCATGGTTACCAGGTCACACTTTAACGAGCAGCCTTATAGGAACAGCAGAGTTCTGGATAATTCTGGGACCGGAGACCTAAAAATGGCCCTTAATGAAAGCACTCAAGCTGATGACGGAGCCAGGGGTTGGTATTAACCTAGATGAAGGGAACATTGGAGTTGAGTTGAAGAGAGAGAGCCAGAGAAATCACAAAAAAAAAAAAAAAAAAAACATATTCCAGTTTTAACAATGGAGCCTTGATTCTCCCTTTGTGGAAGGCTGTAGTTTAAACCACCATGTGTGTGTGTGTGTGTGTGAGAGAGAGAGAGAGAGAGAGAGAGAGAGAGAGAGTGTATGTGCCTATGTTTGTTGGACTTGTCCATGTCGGCACACATGAACAGGGACATCAGGAGAACCTGATGAGCTGTGATATCTTACACCTCTGTCTGTGTGTCCGTGTGCACCGACGCACATGTGCACCTTTATTTTTAGGGTGGGTGCCTTGTGCTGGGGGTCAAGCGGGGGCACCCAAAGGACCTTAACGTGAAGGACATAGCTCAAACTCCAAGTATGTTTTCCACCGTGTATCCATCACAGAGCAGCTGACAGCTGAGATGAGCGCACGCCATCGGGTTGGCAGCGACACGCGTGTGCCCATGTCACTGGGCTCCTGCTTCGGTCTACAGGCATGTGCTGTTGAACCTGGCCCAACAATGTTAATAAAGAGGGTCTAAAAGGGGTCAGCACTCCACATAGACGATCAAAAAAAGAGGGCCCGGAGGTAAAGAGGATTTGACACGTCATAAAATGACTTCAAATCTTTGTCAGGCAAGAGGAGAACTTCACTTGTGAATTAAATTAGAGTCGACTTTCTCACGTCACTCTGTTGTTGCTACATATTGAACATTTTCTGGATAAATATGTTGTTTTCTTTCATTCTCCCTGTCCTTTATGACTGTGACATTATTGTCCACTAACCCTATTGTGTTCCTTCAGTTTGTTCTCTTTCGGTCTCCTCCAATGAGGTTCTGCGACCCTCGCCGCAGTACTGGACCCAGAATCTTCACACCTACGATCTACCAGTAGGTCACAGTCTACTTATTGGGCACCCTTGATTCAGTGCATACATCCACTTTGGTTAAAATGGAAAAAATATATAATTAACTTTATGCATATCATGGATTAAAATTCTAACGCTGGGAAAGAAGGTTCATATTCCCAATCTGGGGTTTAAGAGGATTACTATTAAAACAAAGGGAATGCAGTTCTGTAGCTGGAGTGATAGGTTTTATCAGCACTGCATTATCATCCCGGTGGATCGTAATGTGGATGGGGGCTTATTATTAGGTTGTATTTGATGCCAATGTGTCTCATTTGATCCTCCATGAAGTTGTTCTGACAGCTCTACTGGTTGTAGGTCGGGGGTTTCTAGTCAGTCCCTGTCCCCTTTGGCGTTTGACCACACATCGAGCTCTATGGAGGTTAGCTTTAGCAAAGACACGCTTTCTCTCTCAGCATGTCACCCACCGGCGCCCCCTCCCCTCTTTCCCCACACATGATTTGCATGGCTAAAACAGCCCCAAACATTGCAGCGGACAAGCAGTCGTAACACCGGAGTGATGCTTCACACGTAAACCATCCACATACATGACATGCAGCTGCACAACAATGCAGCTAAGGCATGTGGCGTTAGCCGTGCAGCAGCCCGCCTGTCCTACTGGACTGACCTGCTACAAGGGTAAGTAGGACATGACCATCCACAATGGACCAAATGCCTATGTACTTCTTTAATTATATATATATATGATCTTTATACAGTTTATATATTTTGTCAACAGCATTTAGAGACATGATCTATGGGGTTAGTTTTTTAAATTTGACTAATTTAGGATTAATTGAGAAAACTTATTTGCCTTTTGGTAAGACATTGATTTATTGGATTTTTATCTTTCCCGATATTACATTGGATGCCTGCCATACCATATATGTTTGACCTCCATTTATGTTGGTCCATTTTTCTTCTTTCCATGTTTCTTAATTAGATTGTGATTTTAAATTGACTCTGGTTGTTTACCTTCTTTTTTTAAATGGTTTTGGGTGGAGTTCCTCTAATTAAAGCAGGTGTTGACAGTGACTCGGCAAAACTTCCCAAGCTCAGGAGCAGATTGTGGATTTCACGGACTATTAGGTCAGTAAAGAAGTAGCTGAGTTACCTTTTTGGTGGGTTGAATAGGTAACTGACCTTGGTGGAAATGCATATACAGTGAGTGCTCTTATGTTGAACCAGCCAACCTTTTGTGAACCTAAAACAATATTAATATGGCGCAGTTTCAGCATTCACTAACTGAGAGCCTTCACAAAGTCAGTGTAGTTTGTGTGCGGGGCTGTAGCGTGTGAATCCCGCTGCTGTGTTTTCATTCACTCCTCTCCCTCACTGTCAACACTGCGCGTGTGGGTCGCGCAGGCGGCAGCAGCGGCACAGGCGCGCGAGCGCATTGTCCGCGTAGTTGTCTTCTCGCAGGACCTCAAACCCTCAGAGCTGAGCTCAGCTAGTTCCCAGTGACAGCTGGACATGGAGAGCAGCGACACGGAAGCGGGAGAGCCTTTCCACACCGGTAAGAACTCACGCTGTAGACTTTTGTCGCACGGCCGTTCGCGCTTGTGCGTAATTGCGCGGACCCGGCTGTCTGTGCTGCCGGTGTCGGAGTGTTCCCACTCGGCTTTGCTCTGCGGTGAGGTGAAATGCAGTTGTTTTTGGCACAGGCAGCTCCAACCTGATGAGAGACGGAACAACAGTCGCTTTTCTTCTTCCATGGGCCAACACTCTGTCTTTTTACTCACTTCTAGTTTAATTCTAATTGGGGTTTTTTATTTTTTTCCCGTAAATATTGTAAACAGAGTTGTTTATTTTTCCTATTTAAGAACACGTGTTAAAGCCTGTGTTTTTAGACTAAGAGTCGCATGCAAACATACGGGCCTGATTAAACGGGCCGTTCGTTTTTATATATTAAAAAAACGAGCAACAACAACAACAATAATAATAATAAAATAAAAATAATAATATTAATAATAATAAAAAAACATATTTATCCAATAAATTGATGCTGAAATTTAATCATACATTTTTTTTCTAAAGGCGTGGTTAAAAACACACAAACACAAATAGTAAATAACAATTGTGTTTATAATATACTGTAGTAATCATTTATAATATTCATATTAATTTGGTTGTCAGGGATAAACTAAACACAGCGGATCACTTTGTTAAGGAGTCTAATTAATATTGATTAGATATAGCAGGCCGTGGTGGCAACCTCATTTATATGATATCCTTTCTCTTTCCACTGTGGTCCTGTTAACGGAGGTCAAAGTTAATTTATCGGCTGGCCGACTTAATGATTTGACTAAATGTTTACACCTGAGGCTCTGAAGAAATGCATGTTTGTGTTCCTCCCCGCGGTTTCACACTGAAGGGGTGTGTGTTTGGTAAAATACTGTCGTTGATGGGACACTTTGTCCTCGTTGGGGACATTTGACAAGAGAGTGTTTTAGAGGTTCAACATTTGTATGCATCTTTTGACTGACATTTTGCTGTTATCTGGAGCTTCACCTTTGTTCTGTACTTGAATTTGTGGGATGTTCATTTATGGTGTTTTCTTATTTATCTGGCATTGTATCGCAATGGGTGCTCTGGAGTCTCTGTTTCTTTGTCTTCGCCGTGGCTTCCATTTCTGTCGTGGACTGTTTAGATATGTTTTGGTAATTACGTGGTTTTGGTAAATAAGATGGTTTATTTCCTAGTGTGTAAGGTAAATAGGGAATCAGTTGCTTTGTGGAGGGTTGAATACAGACAGGAATTGACCTGTGCAGAGACGTGTGCTCTGTGAGTGCTGTTTCCTGTTAGTTAAATCATGTTTTCTTCCACTTGATTGGCCGGATCGTTAAATATGCGGAGTCCTCACCAATCGATGATTGTCTTTCAAATGGCCGCGATGGACGTACGAAAATGGCCTCCCTGAGAAGACGGATGAGAACGTGCCGTCGACGCACTGTGGTTATTGTCACACCATATACCGCTACTGCTCACTTGAGGCGTAACACACCCACTTAAACGCCCAGCACTGGCCACATCACAATCTTCTGCATCATCTTTGAATGACCTCACTCGCCTGCGCCCCCCCCCCCCCCCCGATTCACCCCACAGTGTCAGCTTGAAACCTAAATGGCTCTAAATGACGCCCTCCTGCCTGCCAAGCACCGCGTCCCCATCGAAAGGATGTTCTTTCCAACACCATGCAAGCAGTCATTTGCGCTATGAACAAAAGGTCCTTGATTCATCAAATCCCCAGCCTCCTACTGCCCACTCCCCAGTGCCATGCTGTAATTTTCACCAGCACTCTTCCAGCATGATGCCTTTGAGACTCTGTGCGTTTTATTTTTTTCTCTCATTTTTCCTTTTTGTCGGAATAGAGCTGGACCAGAGCAGCCTCACACAGCAGACAACAGACAAATATTGATTAAAATTAGTTTATTTAAAAATAATAATTATTAAATGCTATGGGAGGTTAAGGAAAAAAATAGTTACATTTTTGTGTGGGTGAACAAAAAATAGGCCCTACACCACTTATGAACTAGAATTAATTTAATTTAAATGTTATTTTTAACATAATAAACTTAAATACCTTCATTTAATGTCAGTGATCGTCCAAAGATCCAACCCTCATTTATATAAGATACAATTATTAAAATGTTTTAGGAAAGAAATATTGTAAAATAATGTATAATGATCAAGATTTTTTTTAATAAATATCAATAAAATGTTGATGAAAAGAAATAAGTACATTAATAGACACACTGCAAAGCTGTAACACCATTAAAAATTATTATAAAAAACTATGAAACCTGTAATTCCTGAGTGTGACGTCAGTAGTTAGATTCCTCTGACCCTTTTTCTTTGACATGAATCCACCTCCAATCACAGCTCGGCTAATTAGGGTGTGGTGGTAAAAGGCCAAAGGTCACTTTGAGTTGCCCTTTTCCCAATAATCTATGATTATAAAGGATGAAATTATTTTTTTATCCTGCAAATTATAGGCAAAATCAGATGAATTCACATCAATGTAACAACACCAAGCTGTACCACACTAAAAACTCACCAGATTGCTTTTAAGCAGTACATAACATTTACAGTACAAATGTCAGTACATTCCGTAGGAGCCCAGAAGGACAGTGATTTCAAATGCTGCTCGACTGTCTGCGGGCAATTGCTCTTTTTCACTTGCGTTCCTCGTACAAAGCACGAAGCCCACGTTCTGCCTCCTGCGTCTGACGATAGGTCACATTCACAGATTACCTTTATTCCAAATATTGGTGATGGAGTTCGGTGTCCAACCTTTTTGGTTTTTTTTTTCTTTCTCTTTTTTTTACCTCCCCGCCCAACTTTCTCTCCTACCTCGGAGCGTTCTCCTCTATGGTGTGGCATTTGGCGGCTGCACGGCTGTCTGGGTAAAAACCATCAGCTGTGAAATTGAGAATAATCATGTGGAACGAGATTGGGACGGGAGCAGCTTTAGCTCCAGCCCTTTGCTGTCAGCGGACTCGTGGCTCCTGCTGATAAAGTCTACCACAGTCTGAACAGTCGCCCACAATACATTTTTGTCCAAATGTGGGGAATATTGTTTTTGTCACCGGCCCAATATGTGATGATGCATCACTACGGGATTTTATGGTCACTTTTAACCTAAGCTAAAATACTCGTAGTGTCTCCGCAAGATGAAACAGCAGTAATCATGCCGGTAGTATCATTTTGTTGTTTTGTCCACGACGTCCAACCTCCATCTTTGTTCCTTTGAATTCATACATCACACTGGCTGCTAACGTGCTGGTGTGTACTGCTTCACCCTGGTGTGTGCATGTAAAAAATCCATTTCAAAAAAAAAAAATTTTACTCGTAGTATCAATATATGTTTTTACTTTCTTAATATTGATATTTCTGACTTCATAAATAATAACAATTCATGTAAAAAAAAAAAAGAAATATATTTTCTCCATTGTTTTTATCCTATAAGGGCCGATTATATTTTTTTTAACCTTTTGTTGCATCATGGAGCCTGATGTGTATAGAGAGGGTGTATAAAAAGTAACATTAAATAAAAAAACATATCAAAGTCTAATTTTAAAATTAAAAATATACATATATACAAATACTGCAACTATTTACCTAAAGAACTGTAAATCATTCTGGGCATCTGAATATCTGTTTCAGCGCATTCAAGAACTTCTTTGATATTCAGTCCATAGTAGACTGCAGCAGGACAACATAGGGGGCAGACTGCAGTCACGTGTTCACCCCTGCTTTTCACGTCGGCCATTTTCTCTGCAGGATCTCACCGTTGCACCACGTGTCTGCGTCTGAACACACAGTGTGCGAGGGAAAGCGAACGAATATGGCGCTGATAACGTTTCCAACAACACACTGCGCTCGTCTTTCTCTGCATTTACACACAGTTACGTTTTGTTTTTTGTATAGACTAATAGACGTGAAATTACGGCCCGCGTTCATATTCGCTGAAAGACGCCGCCAGAAAATGACTGTGTGTGCAACAAAAACCTTATCACGACACACTCGCAACGAATTGCTCCTCCCAAATCTCCACCTCAAAGCCTCTATCTGTCTCCTCAGACACAGTGAAATGGATTTCAGCTTAAATCTCCCATCAAAGATGTAATGGCTCTCAG